TCCTGCGGGAACAAATGGCGTATGAACCAATCGTTGGTCACCAGCTACCATGTGAATGAATCTCCTCCTGATGTTCCACTGCATTGTGGGTCAGACCTTTAGGTCGAAGGCTCGGGGTGTGGCCCCCTAAGAAAACCACCTGCTTCGGTCTGGGCACCTGGGCGGTATCACAGCCCACACACACAAATATGGTGTGGCGCATATATATTTGGTGCCCTCTTGTACTAACATTTATGTGTCGAAATAATAAAAAATAATAATAAAACAAGATAACATGATACTTCAATGTTTGTTATCTGTTCCTTTATTAAACTAATTTTTAACACATTAACAATGCTGAGTTATTATTTTGATTGATGTTTATCAGTAAATATCAAAGTTTTATACATTGTTTATTTCATTTCAGAAACTTTCCAATGCAATCATAAATGGTAATACAAATTTCCACAAAGTAATGCCTGTAAGTAATCATATATCTGACAACTATAATAAAGAATCAAATAACATTTCATTGAATAATAGTTCCATAGAATATCAACAATTAGATCTTTCATTGAAAAGTAATGTATTGACAAAATCAAATAATACAACATTTGATACACAGTATAATAATACTGATATGAACGTTGATAATGATGTAATACTTAATGATAATACATGCCAGAAAATGATAAAGAATGATAAAATTAGTTCTATTGATTGTTATTCACCTAGTTTTCTTAAACCAATTGAATGTGATCAAATAATGAAAGAGTTCATATGTTCTATTGATAATTGTTCAAATCTTAATATTGAAACAACTGATATCCAAATGAATAATACCATATATTTAGAACAGAATAATTTACCATTAGATAATTATGAAAATAATGAACCTAAAAGTAATTTAATAAGAAATCAGAATTATTTCAAACTAACTTATAATGACTTATTGGTTTATTCTAATAATGTTATTGCCAATATTAATGATATTCCAATGTCACCAGATTATAGTAATAAGGATACAGTTCAACACTTGTCATTGAATTCTAGTAAAAAGATTTTATATGAAAATATTCCATTCTATTATCAATATTTTGGAAGTAATGAAGCTTAATTCTAAATGTAACATTTCGCATAAATGAGTGACTAATATAATGGTTTTAGAAAAAATAATCAAAGTTGTTTTACATGTGTATTGTGAACTATACTCTAGTTGTATATAGTAAATCTATTTACATAGAAGCATTTAAGTAGTATTACATTGAGTCAACCAAAAAAATCTTTATTCAAGATTTTCTATTGGATATAGAAAAATATTGATGTGTTAATACGTACTACTCAATTCAAAATAATACTTTGGGAAGACTACAATTTATGATGACCTTTAAGAGACGCTAAAGTGACTTTGAGAGTGTCCACGTACTACTACTTGCACCTGTTATCCATAGTGGAAGAGCATAGGCCGCCCACCAGCATTCTCTATCCAACTCTGTTCTGGGTAATCTTTTCCAGTTCTTTCTAGTTGCTGTTCATCCTTTTCATATCTGCTTCTAATTTTCGACGCAGTATGTTCTCTGGTCTTCCTCTTTTCCGTTCACCTTCAGGATTCTGAGTTAGAATATGTCTCATGATGCAGTTCGGTGATTTCTTCAATGTGTGTCTTATACACTTCCAGAGTCTTTCCCTTTTGAGCTGGAATCTGGTTTGTTCTCTCACACAGTAAAATGTCGCTTATGGTATCCGGTCCACCTGCTAACCAGGAATAAATGGTAAATTAAAATTATGATTTACGGTTGATGGTTGGGGTTAGGAACTAGATTCAGGGTTTTCATCACGAGCTGGCATCAGCTAAAATGCCAAAACACTATTTAGCTAAATAGATGAATGAATTTCGCGCAAAAATTCAAGAACTCTTATCTTATGTCTGGCCCGTCCATAGATTATAGTCTCTCTAATATTTCTCATAAATATTGAAGTAGAAATTACATTTACTCTTAATACATACAATGAAAGTGATTTTCACCTTTTCTGTATTGCCTAAAAAATTCTACAATTAAAATCGACAAAATGTAAAGGACTAAGATAATTAAATAGTAAGTCCTAAAATTCTATGAATACATTGTACACGTAATGTAGATAACACGATCAATGAGGGACAAGGCAAGTGAGAAAAAAAGTGCATACTAGCACATGGATTTTGTTTTATTCATGAATAACATACCGTGAATTTGTCTAAAAATATTTGTAATGACGTAATGTACAATATATATTGTAGACTAGAAGTATGTTTCTTAATTTTGCCTCACAAGCTGCAGTTGTTTATTCAGTCGTTTCTTTGTATTGACTAAATATGACACCATTATGTTTTAAGTCAATATAACGATAATATCTGTAATGAATGTAAACCACAAGGCATTTTGAAGTACTTGATATTAGTCTTCGTACTCAGAGTCACTGTTTGATAATCTTTGTCAAATCATCTTTAAGGAGAATAAATTTAAAGGTGGTATTTTATTTAAAAAAAGGAAATATACTTTTATATTTATAAAGACGTAATTTTAGTCCTTGTAAGTTTAAAGATAACTTTATAAGGCATTGTTTAATTTCATCTATTAATTATACGGAGATTCAATTCAAAAAATCAGTCATCACACGTTCCATTTTCACCGAGAGGATCCGTTTACGTCTTTAAATTTCGACGAGTTATAGCTTTTTTTTTAACAAATATTTCTATAAATACTCATATTGTTTACTTGCACACTGGTTAACGGGTTAACAATTAGTAGTTGTGTAATAATAATCTACTGACTATCTCCTAATATGTGGGCATCGAAATCGCCATTTAACTAGTGTAATAATCATTACGTTATTGGATCAATAGCTGAAAGAACCAGTGCTTATTGATTTATGGTGTTAACATAACATCCATCGAAATCGGATGATATCCTCCATGTCCTTCCATCTATTTGTTGTCATTTTCACTCTACGATGATACAATGAACTCTTTTCGCATCGTAATCATAAAGTTTTCATTTTTAGTATTATTTCCAAACTGCGGTAGTTAATATTAACTTTTAAACTGTATGCTCAAACCTAAGAAATACTATTTTGAATTTGATTAAATTGGTGGAGTCTAACCTCGAGATTCATTTTAACCTAAATATTTAAGAAGTGGGTAATGTTATTTCATTGACCGGAGTTTGGTACTTATATAATGGCTGATCGCTCGAAACTTCTGAGTTTATAATTGTCGATTTCACAACTGAACAGTTTTAAGATCGTACAATGAAATGACAAATTCATAACAGAATATCCAGTGTTTTTTAAGCAAAGATTGACAGTGGCTAGTCGTGGGATTCAGGACGAGCGTTTCGTTCTATTTGGGACTCGTCAACTGGATGTACCTACATCTCAAAGTTGATGTTCACTCTGTGACTCGAACCCAATACCGTTTGCTTCAAACGCCATCGCGTTATCCACTCAACTACTGAGTCCTGATAGCCACCTGCTTATGCAACAGGAGTGAACATCCACTCTGAGATGCAGGCACGTCTAGTTGACGAGTTCTAAATGGGACGAAACACGCGTCCTGGATTCCACTGCTAGCCACTATCCATCTTTGCTTAAAAAAACCTGTGACTTAGGGCTATATCGAGGTAATCCGCACAGGATGCATATATGCCAGCATGAGACTGATCAACCGCAGTCCCAAATAACAATGGGATGATACAAGTAAAACAACACCAAGTGAATTTAGAATATCCAATAGTTTACTGTCCCCAAACATTGCTACAGTTTTAGTGAAAAGCATTAATCGATTGTTATCATATTAGTCAATTTCGGGAAATTTTAACCAAATAATATGATTGTACTGTTCTAGATATCTCACACTTTCATTTTACAGATATTTTAATTCTTGATCAGAATCTGTTGTATTTTTAATATAAGTGAGAATAAATATTAAACTTGTTGATGAGATTCAACAATTTATTTATATTAAGAGATTGTCGAATATAATACCTCTTTGATTGAATTATGAAATGTCATAAAAATGGCAAATTACATCATTCAATAAAAATGAACTACAGTTTATTTCCAAAAAAAAACACACATTTTATTTACTTAAAGATAACACATTTTACACGAAGTTGATCAAAGTACAGTACACAAAAATGGCGAAACAATACAATTTATAGATGGTTCATATATATATAACATTTAATAGATCTGTTTATATTTTATATGGCTTAGTGTGTGTGAACTTTATTGTTTTCTTATCATATAAATAGGCAAAAAAAGATACATTTTTGTTCATACATGCTCAGACACACACACACACACACAGAAAATGTATATCACAAACATTTAGATGATCTATTAGTTTGACTACACTACCATATAGTCGATTCTCATTCAGAGTAATATCTATATCTATATATTGTTTTTATGATACTTTCTTAATCAAAAGAAAAATCAATTTTTTAACTCTTATTTTCCTTTTAATAATTTTCATAATTATCAAGAAAAAAAAACAAAAAAAATTTTCATTGGTATTATCTATTTAACTTAGTGTTAATGTTCATTCTGTTTTCATTTCTTATATTGTAATATAAATCAAATATCCTTTTTGTTGTTATTGTCGTCGTTGTTGTCGTCGTTGTTGTCGTCATTGTTGTTGTCGTCATTGTTGTTGTTGTTTAAGAAATGAAGGTTTTATAATCCTTACTTTATTTAAAATTATTTATAACAAATAGAATAGCAAAAAAAAGAAACGTTTTATAATTTATTTATTACAACGAATATACGGTAATATTGATCTATTTCTTTTTTCATTTTTTTTCTTCTTTTTATGATTATCACTAATTGGTTTATGTGTTCTTTTCAATCATTATGATGACAAACCATTCAGTTATATAATACAACATATTAAGGATAATAAATAATATCTATGTATAGTTATTTATAAAATACGTTTTATACTTATGATCGGTTTACATTATTATTATTATTATTATTGTTTATTTATTTGAACTATAAATTGGTATTTTATAAATGAAATTTGTTTGTGATTGATTTAGATCCATATTTGTTGAATTGAATGATGATGATGATATAACTGATGATGAATTGGTACTATTATTATTAATTGAATTTAAAGTTAAAATTTTTATACCAGTTGGTGAATTCATATTTGAATATGAAGATGATGAAATAGGTTGTATAGTAGAAAATAAATTTGTTTGTAATTCATTTTGATCATGTTCAAATGATGAATGTAAATTTTTATGAGTATCATAAATTTCAGGATAAATTAAAGAATCTTGAAGGAAAAAAGGGAAAGAAAAACAAACACGCATACAATTACAAATGATGTTTATTATTATTATTCAGTATAATTTAAAATAATGATTATACTCATAATTGTTTATTAAAGTTTTAATTGTATCTTTATATCTAGTGTTTTGGTTAGAATGAAAGTTTGTTATTGTCTGAAGAAATCAGTTGATAAGAGGTTTTAAGTGTTAATATACTTGATTTACTTATAAATTTTAGAATATTAAAGATTCCCATTGTGAAAATTAGATCTGCACAGTAGACACTCTAAGTCAGGAGCTTGAATTCATCAACAACTCACCGACTGAGATCGACTACTCCAGTGCTTTCATTAAGAATTAGATGTATGACATAATAAAGAAGTCGGAGATTTCGACTGTTCCTAAGAAACCTTTATACATGAAACTACGATTCAACGGGGATGTGGCTAGTGATACTCCGAAATATAGGTTAACGAAAGTAATCACCAGGAAATTCTATGCAGCCAATCTTGTGTTGGCTTTCTCTTGTCGACCAGCGATGTCTACACAAACGAAGGGTAAGTTACCTGAGTTGACCTCCTCAATGTGTATTTACAAATTCAGCTGCTCCTGTGAAGATAGCTATTTCGGGCGTACTACCAGGCAACTTAACCAATGAATGAGTGAACATCTACTAGCTTGGTTTATGAGGGGCTAGATAAAAACAATTCACAGTTCTATCTTGGCACATCTTATTGATAGTGGTCATGCTGTAGATGAATCGAAATCATTTCCGGTGATCTATCGTATACCTCCATCATTTCCCAACGGAGTTCGTTCCCGTCTCCTACATATAGCTGAAGCCATAGGACTTCGTACATATAACCCCAATTTATGTGTAGAGAAGAAACTCGTAACCCCCTTATCCCTCCATGGCCAGTTCTAACTTAACTAACGATTTTTTAAAATTGTTATTTATATATTTTATTCTATTTTTGTTATCATTAGCATTATTTTCACATCTAGTATTTGTTTGTAATTTTCCGCCTCTTGCCGTTTGTATTCTTCAATATCTAATTATTTACACACTTCTTATGACGTAATGATTTAAATGTTTTGTGATGACTATTTCAAGTCTGTTTGCCCACGTTTGACCTTCTATTTCCAACGTTTAACTATTGATACGACTTTTGTTATCGCATTTTTATTATTCTCACTACTGTCAGTACACCTGTCTTCCTACTATCAACTTGTAATTTTAATTATTATATGTGGCGACCCATTCTATTTCATTGTGATTATTGACCCATACTGCCTTGGTTGGTTTAGCATTTTCATATAAATATTCATGTATATTAGAGTAAAGCCTGATGACGATCTAATTGAAAACAATTGTTTGCTTATATGTGTTGTCATAAATTTTAAATTAATCAAAGGCATTTTCCTGTCTAAGATATAATATCATTAGATGATTATAAAGAACTGTCAAAAAGTGGATTTTCTACAATTTTGAGTAAGGATTTATGTCTGTGACATTCCTTATCATATTCAGAACTATTCTAGGTAGGAACAGATTATTGGAACCTTTCGATTACTAAATAGTACCTAGTATATATTTCAGTAATGGTGTATTATGAATTAAACTCTAGGTGTCGATGACATGGTACTTTTACTAATCGTTATATTCATTTTTAAGGGTGCACTGCTTGAAATCTTACTATCAATAAAAAGGATAATCTATTTAATCAGGTTATACAGATCATTGGTTTCTACTGTAAGGGTTCTGATCACTCTTAAAGCTTCACTCGAGATTTAGATAATTAAACGTTTCTATGTGAGGATGAAGAAACGTAATGAGATCTAATTGTTCTGGAGTTAAAGTTTCACTGGTATTGATACTTCACTGCATAGATACACTTGTCTTATATGTATGTAACACAAACCAGAAGTTGAATGCCTGCCAGCAGACGGTTAGAAGATCAAATCGAAGAGAACAAGAATATGAATAGGTAGGAATCGTGAATCGGAAGAACCATAAAGAATGCAAAGGACAATTGATGGAAGGTTTGCAAATAAAGCACTTTATGAATGGTTCTCACACTTCACGAAGATATTCTGTAATTTTGTATTAAACAATAAATTGGTTGTCCTCATCTAAGCGTTCGTCCACTTCACAGTGACTGTCGTTTCAATTGACTGTAAGAAGACGTCAGAAATAACTTTAGATGACTTGATACAATGATTTAGCTTCTTTTTATCGAAATTATCTTATTATTGGGCTTTTATACTCTTGCGTCCCCATCATTTGGATTCCAAGTTCACCCTCCATTCGTAGATAGAATATTTAATTCTGAAGGTAACTTTCTCACAGGTATTCATTATCAGGTAGTTTATTGTATAGGTATGACATAGAGAGTAGTGTCTTACGAGTTCTTAAGCTGACACAAAGAAAAAAAACCGCTATTTACCATTTATCATTTCAACTACATAATAGTCTATAATATATATTTGTAGACTTGTTTTAAAAAAATGATGCATTGGACTACACTTAAACAGTTGTACTCGTTGACCCTATTGATTCAGTAAGAAAATTAAGAGACATTCATCCGAATACATACGAACATCAGTTAAAAAGTCAATTTATAAATTACTGAAATGTCTGTACAATTTTTTGAAATTGTGATTAAAATAGTTTGCGGTGATCAGTAGAACATGACTCGCTCAGATATGTTTTGAATGCAGATTTCATCGTAGAAGCTTTCAGCAACTATTTAGTTTAGGTATTGAATCTCACTATAGATCTAAGCATAGGGACTTCGTGAGATTTAAACATAATGATTAAGTATGACAGAATTCTATAAAGTTATACAATAATGTTTATCATGATATATCATCATTTTTCAGGCAAAATCACACGACAGTTGTTTAGTTCTAGTTTAATACTCATCAAAAGTGAAACTCTATGATCTTAAAAGCAAATAAATAACGAAGTAATACAAATACTCAAGAAACTACATTTTAAAGCTTTGAATGATTATTTTATGTAGATAATAGTATCATAGCTATGATTATTTTAATAATTCAACATTTGGGAATATTTACTTACCATTGGTTTGGTGATTGTCGTCTAAATTTAATTGATCTACTGCTTGTAATACAGAATTTATCTCATTTTGTTTCGTAATGTTATCATTACTAGTATTACTTGTAACGGCAGTATTATTGATCGTTGGACTTGTCTTATAATCTAATGTTTCTGAAGTCGATGTAAAATATATGTCACCCTTAGAAAGTAAAGAAAATATGAATGTTAATTCAGAAAAAAATATTACTGATGAATTCCAGTATACAGTCTACACTATGTTTCGTTTACAGTAAGCCCGATGAATTTTCTGTTACCTACTTGCTGTATTATAGACATCAAACTCACTATGTGAAAGTATGTGAACTCGATTGAAAGTGTATGGCGCACCATTACTTTCTATCTATCTTCCCCCATTGATTGTAAACACAATCAATAAATTAGCCACAATTGATCAATACTCATCAAATACGTACAGATTTTTCGACTTTTTGTTAACTCACACACACTTTCCTGTGTGCTTTACCTCTTATGAGCTTGTGGATTTTATTAATTATTAACAATACACTATCTCAACAAAGTGTTCTGGCTTTTGACTATTCTCAAGTAAATTCATGGTGCTACTAGGAGAATGGGCCTGCTAAATATACTCAATTAACGGGACATCATATATTGAAGTCAAAAGGAGAGGAATTAACCTGTACAGGTTGGCTTAAACACTTTATTTATAGACAATAGAAATGAAAGTTGAAGAAAGGCAATATAAACCTGAGCAATTATAGCAAAATATTTATTCCACTGTGACTTTAATTGTAGTGCATCTTCTTTTGTGCTCACTATTAAAGAAATTTGACCTTTATTAGTTTTCACATAAAATGCCATAACAAGTATATGTGTGACCAGATTGTTCGAAATGTATAGCGCAAATATATCAAATTTTTCAGATCAACTCCGTCTTCTCAATGCTTTATCAAAATTTATAAAAGGGATTAATTGTTTTCAATTTGACTGTACCAATGATCATATTCGTAACTTTAAATCGACTGAAATTTGACACGCCCACGAATGCTTAACCTCCAGACTATCAAACTACTACCCAACGATGTCTGATTTCAACCAATTCATGATATTGCGGAATCATCAGCAGTTCGAATTTTGATTTTTGGATGAAGGCTCGTGGGTGACCATTGCTGAGGAGTCATAAACTACGATAACCGTCCATCTAGTGCTTCCAGATTGTCACTGGTGGTTAACGTAATATCAAACCAATGTTACGGAATTTAAACTTAAAAAAATCAGTAAAAAATGCGACATACCTTAACAGTAATTAACCGACAATCAGTTACAAGCATTGTATGCACCAAGCTTCCATTAATTAATAAACGTATTTCAATTGCAGATGGATTAAATCCGAAGATGTATGGGAAGCATGCAGCTGAAAGGATAATATTGAAAAAAACAACTTGGGAGTAGAGTTTGTAAAACTATCCTTATTTTTTACACCTAAAATCATGAGTTATGAGTCTAAATATCAAGGGTGGTTGTAACCAGATGTTTCGCACTTTGGCTCTGACTAGAGGACTGATGAAATAAGAACGTTCAAAAGGGATTAATTGTGAGACGAATGCAGTTTTAAAATTAGTGAATTCATTGTTTGCGTCAAAAATAAGTACCCAACAGTGTGGTCTAAGTATTGAGGCTTTAAGTAATTTTATATTGGACGTGGAAAAAGTATCTAAGAAACATATACTGAATTCATAATTGGCTGACCACTATGTAGTGACAAATGTCATGTCCTTCTTAGTGCTGATCGAACTCTGTTGATGATGTTGCAACGTGACCACTAGTCTATGTGACTAAAAAACCTGGCATACATTACGTTTCTCACTACCCAGTGATCAGTCAATCGTAAATATATCTCAGTTCTATAGGAGGTCAGCCGCAGCCCGGATAGCTGAGTGATATGGTATCTGAGTGTCACGTTTAGTGACATGGGATCAAATCTGTCAGGAAGCATCAGTTACCACAGGATTACAGGTAAATCACACTGATGATGGCTAATTAGCACGAAACCTAGGTCCATGGCTCTCTATCGACTACATCCAACCATTAGCTTACACTGAGCTTCCTTATCTACAAGTAAAAATATTAATGTGGTAAATAATTAAGTTTGAGGTCGATCTGGTATACCGTAACATTTCCTACAGTTACATGATTTGTTTATGAAATTTGTCGCGGGCTCTGTCCGTCACTGAAAACTGTGATCTTGTCCAGAACAAATACAAGCCTCAGTTAAACCGTCCAGGTCAGAAAACGCTACAGTACCAAATAAGTGTAAGAGTTATTCCATTTAGTAGTACATTCCAGAAGCTAAATGATTAGGATCTAATATTTCCATGTGTTGTTTCTGTTTGCTACTGAGATCTATACATCATTCAATTCATCATCGTCCAACCAATGGAATACTGTTGCATGGTTTTTGGTACTGAAATCTTAAATATAATTGATAAATTTTAAAACTGAAAAGTTCAGTTTTATAAGAATTTTGAAGTAAAAAAATATATTGAGTGTTAATTCCTATCACATAGCCAGTAAACAGTAATATTAAACTGATTCCCCCTAATGAATGTGAGTGCCTTTACTTTTTCGGCTATAAGATATTGAAATCGCAAAAAGATGAGTAACTTTCATTGATAATGAATTTACCATAATGCTGACTATTAAACATTTTCTTACCAACTTGCTGTGGTTCGAATGTCCATGCAAAATCACAATCACTTGTTTTCACCTTTTCTTCACATGGTAAATTTAAATTCATGGAATTAAACGATGGTTCAGGAGAACAACTTCTAGCTATTGATGATCCACTTGTTGTTGAAGTTGGGGATTCCACAGAACTAGATCCTTGTACTTGAGATAATGCCGGTAATGATTTATTTGTATTTATCTCCATTGATGACTTCATACTCCAGTTAAAGTTTGAATCCGTTGGGCAGCTAGTAGGAATCGGTTGACGACAACTACCGATACAGGTGTAATTAGGGCAAGTTTTTGAAAATGACATGTTCCTATAACGAATTTTATTTGATGGAAGTAAAGTATGATAATTCTTAAAGAAAAAAGATGTGATTTTCAGTTAAATTTGGATAGGTGCTAACTGTGGAATTCTAAACTTGCGTTTCATCCTAAATATTACTCAACAGCTGGAGTGTTGATGTAAATACTCAAACTGTAATCAAGTATCTCCCACTCAAAAACTAATGCGTTATCCACTGACCTACCAAGCTCAGATAACCAACAACTTTTAATTTGAAATTTATGTATAGCTTTTTATGGATGTTGGTATTTCTATAGAAGCCATCAAGAAATTTCGAACCCAGTACTGATCACTTCAAACGCCATTACGTTATCCACGTAGCTACTGAGTCCTGATAGCCATCTGGTTGTGCAATTGAGTGAAGTTTAAATCCACTTGCATGCGCAATACCAAATGGCGTTTGAAGTGATCGGTACTGGGTTCGAGTCTCATAATGAACATCAACTCTGAGATGCAGATACATCCAGTTGACGAGTCACAAATAGGACGAAACATGCGTCAAACTGGATTCTACTACTAGCCACTACCCATCTTTCCTTAGAACTCTCGTGAATTAAAGCAATGTCGAGGCAATATACACAGTATGCACATATGCCAATAGGATACTGATCAACTGAAGTCTTAAACATCAATGGGAAGATTCAAGTAAACAGTACCAAGTGAATTCATGTATAGTAGTATGTCAGTCGTAAAATGTTTTATGGTGTACAAATGAAAACTTTCTTTAAACAAAATAATATAATTTATTTACTTGTGAAGCAAAGTAACAATTCATGTTCATCATCAGCCCATAATTCCAATGCAGAAACAACTTGATTTCGACTACCTTCAGTACGAAATAATTGTGTTGTTTCTTTACTTCGTTCATCTAATAAAATAAATTGATTTCTATATCCTACACATAGTTTTCCACCGGGAATACCTTCGACAAAACTTAAAGTTTGTATTGAATCGATCATATGAACTTCCTATAATAAATAAAAATACGTTCAGAATAAAATGCTGGATAAATTGTCTTTGTTGAAAAAGTTTGTACTGATTATAACATTTACAGTAAGTAAACTTGAATATTACATCGAAACCTCATAAATGAGTTTTACAATACCTTAAAATTGATAGTGATCAACGTTCAGAGATAGGAGATGACAAAATCACCATGCTGATAAGTGTGTAAAAGTACGAAACCTCGGTTCAGAGCATTCAAAAAAAGTTATCTTCAACCGTACGACATTATATACAACATACAGCAAAGTTAGTTCGTTAATCTTAATGATTATATTGTAAACATAATCTATTAAATATAACAATATAATGTAATCACAGCGAACAACCATATTTGTGTACTGATATGTTTTCTTTTGATATTTATCTTCATTTAGTAGTGTTGTGTATAATTTGTCAAATAAAAATAAATAACTTCATAAAACCTACTCTAATTATTTGAAAATTTTCAACAGGATCTGGTTGTGCTAATTGATTCCATGAAGACAAAGAACGACCAGTAAATAAATGCCATTGAAAAATTACAATTTTTCGATTTACAGCAGCTGCTAGTCTTAATGGTTGACTAGGACTTTTACTAACAGCGAATAATTGAGCACCTTGAAATGAAAAAAAGTGTTAATTTTATTTTGGTTATTTGTTCGTTTTGAAGAAGTGGCTTACATTAGGTTACGAAACGTCAGAAATACAATTTTGTACTCATTGAGATACCACGAAAAAATATTTATTATTAAAAAATCCCTAATAATGTTGATGCCTTTTAAGATGTTTAACTTAACAATTAAATTGGTGTCTTCAAAAGGAGCTCGTATCCACGATAGTCTATTTATTATGTGTTATACAAAGTTATACTGTGTTTTGTTAAAGGAAATGTTGAATACAATATATTCACAACCGTATAAAGATACTTATACAAATGTATGTTATAATTTTTGGCAATTCTAGTGTTGTGAATAATTTTCAGCTAATACATTTCTATTTCTTCTAATTGAAGACTCAATGAATAGAATACGAAAATTAATCTTTCTCCATTAGTCTTAAAATAATGTTGCATTTTAGAATATCATCAAATGATCACTTCTTAGTAGATCAATGTTAATAGATGAAGTCATTTAGTAAAACAAAGAATATCATCCTATTCAAGTGATGTAACATATTGTTTCTTATTAATTTATATAACATTATATTTGTATCCTTTCGTATTGCTTGTTTGAATCTTTCCATTGATGTGTAAGACTGCAATTGGTCAGTCTCTTATCGTCATATATGCATCCTGTAGAGATGGCTTTTACTCCGTGGCTAAGGGTTTAGCATGATGGCGTTTGAAGCGGACAGTACTGTGTTCGAATCACAGAGTGAATATCAACTCTGGGTACATCCTCCTGACGTGTCCCAAATAGATTCCAACAGTAACCACCATCCATCTCCGCCTATATCAATATTATCTCTTTGTGATCTTCCTAAGGTCACAAAAATGACCATCAAAGCATTCAAGTTATTCTTTTTTTACAATTTCTGTAAATTAAGACCTTAACTTGTAGTAATCAAACATCATAATCTCTAATAACTGTAATTTTACATTGTAATTAATATTTCAAGAAAAATCAACTTAAGATTTATCAACTAAGTAGAATAATTCTACATTAAGTTAAGACATTTTAACAATTTTAATAAAAGTCCAAAATACTTTTCATTATTGCATCTAGATTTCACTTGTTTCAGACTATAAGTATAATTGTAAACATTAGAGTAATGATCATCTTAATACTTTTTCATTTCTATTGACTCATTAAACTATTATATTGCATAATATTAATGAATACTGGTAAGCGGCCTATGCTCCTTTACCAGGAGTAACAGGCGTAAGTAAGCAATTGATAACAATAATAATGAATAAACATTAATAATATGAAATATAATCAAATTATACCTTTTGTTTTTTCTAAACTAAGTTTTTTAGCTTGTGATCGATCAATTGGTTTAGTTGATGTTAAACAATTTAATTGTATCACTGCAATTTTCCCTTCACGACCTGGGAAAACAATAAAACAGCAAATAGAAAGAAGTTTGTTTCTTTTCGTAAAATAAAGATATTTATTATAAAGTTTATATAAATGTCCTTAAACTATGTAAACTTTCATTAGACTAAACAGAAATGAAGATTGAATATGAGTAAAAGTTAATGTTTCTTTTTTTTTTTAAATATTCGTTAATCATTACCTTATTTATTTCTATTTAATAATCAAATAATGAGCATAATCATTTGCTAATATTTTAATGATTAAAAATGTTTTTCCAAAGGATTTATTATTACCCTAAAATTAGAAGTGGTTTTATACTTACAGGGTGTTTGTGTGTGTGTGTGGTGAGGTTTGTAGATGCTCACTACTAAGAAACCCTAATATTGGGATAAAACAGTCATATAAAGCTTTATGGTTATCTAACTAAAATAAATTGAATATTGTTATCTAAATCGTATTTGTTGTAAATGGATATAATAGAAAGAAAGTGTAACTGAAATATATGAAAGATTTTTACATGTTTTTTTAAATGAAGCATACTTTATTACTTGATCATAAATGTGATATAACACGAATAATTATCACTTGTAATTTAGACTAGGTTAACTGTTACTGAAATAGTTTAGTACACTTTCTATGCTAAATATTGCATAGAAAAGTTTGTTGAATACAAAATATTTCGCTACTGACATTGGAGCAGGTTAACACAAAGTAAATTAGTATATATATGTTAAGTACAAGAAATAAAATTTACACTGCTTACAAACGGTAATAAATAAGCTACCATAAATCTACTGTCATAAGGCAAGAGCATGTAAACACTAATTAATACAAACAACAAATGACAGAGATTAAATGTGATATTTTAAATTCACATTTATACACAGATATTTACACAGTCTTAGAGTTATCTATATTCAACGTGTTCATCAATACTTTCTAGTTTCTGTTTGTGTATGATTTATTTATTTATTGTTTAACTGTAATACTCATTATTTCTTAACTATTATAGTAATTTTAATGGTTGAGATCATGAGTTAGTTGAAGCTAGACTACTATGAAAAACCTGGAACAACTGGATGATCGTTTCGTCCTACTACGGGACTCCTCAGCAGTGCGTATCCATGATCACGCCTCACGACATTAGAATCCAAGATCTATCAGTCTCGCGCGTAAGCGTTTAACTATTAGACCACTGAGCTGGTCGGCCCACGACGGTGTTAATGTCTAACTTCAACTAATTCACGAAATTGAGCGACACATCCATCATCATCTTCAGTGAATTACTATCTCACAACAGTTCAGATTCTTCATGGTGGTCTAGTTTCAATCGACTCATCATTTCAACTATTAAAATTAATATTAAATAATGAACTAGTGTTTAATAAAATAATTTAAAGAAAACAACATACTACTAACAATGAAACTAATGAAAATGTTTTACCATTAAAATGAATTCACTTAATAAAGTAAATAAATAAATAGAAAAATAGAAAAATAAATAAATCAACAACAAAATTGACTAATTATGATTTATCTCATGATTTGCAAATGAATTAGACATGAAATTGGTATTTCTAAGATAAATAAGGAATATATATATATATACATTGATAAGCAGATTAAATGAAACATAACCAAAACTGATTGAAAATGGAAATAAATAATAAATTTAATTGAATATTGAAATAAAAACAAAATGAAAAATTTTAGTCGATCAAACTAATGAAAAAAAAACGTGATATTATCAATATATCTTAGTGATATAAATAAACAACATTCTATTTATTTTTCATGGTGGTCTAGCTTCAATTGACTCATGATCTCAACTATTGAAATTACTATAGTATCCACACAAAAAACCCTTCTGATATGAATCAACATATACTGAGTAGTGACTGGCTTCAAGAGGTAGTTTCTAGAGTTCTAGTGAGAAGCAGTAACCACTGGAGTTCAACCGGGTCTGTTGTGAGACAGTAACTCACTGATGACAATGGTGGATATGTCGCTCGATTTCATGGATTATTTGAAGTTAGACATTATCACCGTTGGGTGCCGGCCAACTTAGTGGCCTAATGGTTAAGCGCACGCGCTCGACACCGAAAGGTCTTGGGTTCGAGTCTCGAGAGGCAGGATCATGGATACGCACTTCTGAGGAGTCCCATACTAGGACGAAACAACCATCCGGTTGTGACAGGTTTTCCATGGTGGTCTAGCTTTGATAGATTCATGATCTTAACCACTGAAAGATCTATTTGTATTTGAAAACGATCATTGAAAATATGGATATAATAAATTATTATACTCTTGTAGTTTATGATTTCAAATGATGAGCAATAATGAATTCATTTGGAAGAATTTCTAAAGCCATATTTCCATTCTTAGTACATCAAACTAAATAATAATGTAATCGGAATGTCTGAAATGAAAGGGTGGACGAAATTAATGGTCTCTTATTTTTATTTAGTTCCGATTCAACTTTTAGAAAACTGCATATCGCATCTTCAGTTAGGTGTGAAATGTAAAATAAATTGTATAAAAACCACTGTAATATCCCAATAAGTAGAAAATTGTATTTTTTTAAGTTTCGTGACTTGATATATGTCACTTCTTCAGCGTCAATAAGTATCCGAAATAAAATCAGTACAAGTAAAATAGTACATGGCAAAGATATTAGGATATTTTTTAACACAAAATCATAATGGATCTGAACACTTCAATGTCATATTATTTTAGTCAAAGGGATTTTATATGAGATATCATTGTATTTATTGTGTCTCAGTTGAAGTCCTACTACTTCATATTATAAACTGTACATTTTTCATACCCACCTACGTACACACAAATATAATGATATCTCATACAAAATCCCTTTGACTAAAATAATTTGATATTGACGTGTTCAGATCTATAATGATTTTGATTGTGTTAAAAAATATCCTTATCTGTTTCCCGTCTACTATTTTTAACTTGTATTGATTTTATTTAGGATACTTATTGACGCTGAAGAAGTGACATACATCAAGTCATGAAACGTAAAAAAAGTATACAGTTTTCTACTAATTAGGATATTACAGTAGTATGTTTATTATCAACTTTCTACCCAATGCACAATTTATGTGAAACTATCAAGTCCAACTATAGCATTGATACCTAAAAATTTAATACTTTCATTTGAACTGTATCTTCATGGGTATATTTTCTAGTTCAAGATCAATTTATTAAATGATAAAAATAAAACAAGCTGAAGAAATGCGCAGATCACTAATAACAGAAAAAAAATCAGAGTTTATTCAAACTATGATAATAATTCATGTTAAACAAAGTTTATAATGTCTGTAAAATCGAATTATAGATCATCATACCTTTATCATAACGAATAATCAGTAGTTCGAATTGAGCTACTTCTAATTGTTTCACTTCCACATTTTTATCAATTAATAAAATAGGCGGTTCACGATCTACATTATTTTAAAAAAAGTCAAATAAAGTGGTTGCATAATCACTAACTATTACATTTCAAAAACTGATTCAAACAATTATTAGGCACAGACGTCATATATATATATATATATATATATATATATATATATATATATATATATATACTCATTCAAACATGGAAAATAAAGAAGAACTAGCTCCTAGTATTCAATCTAAATTTAATGCGTATCAATAAATGAAACATATGGGTATACTGTGTGGACTGAAATAACTCTTCATGGTCTAATACTAATATATAAGAATTTGATTGGATCGATTAAGATATCTTGATGAAAAAATTTGGATAATTTCGTCCACAGATACAGTTATTTCACTAAATTCAGATGAAGTGACAAAGGTAAACTTCAAATGAATGAATGAAATAAATTCATGAAAGGAATATTTAATGAAGATAAGAATGGTGTTTTTCTATAGGCTAAAACATGCTGATGAAAATTATAAATAGGTCACGTAATAGAACTACGTTATCTCATTTTTTTGTTTATATGAGTCAATGGAGCAATTTACATAGAGTGTTCTCAAGGATTTCATGTTCATCAGCCATCGTGTGTATGTGTCTGTATGCTATGACAGATTAACTAGAGGGTTTGCGAATTAGGCTATCTATAAAAATTGAATAACATGAAGATGGGGAAATAACTGAGGTCATCGAACAGGTTCTTCAGTTAAGCAGTCAAGTCTTAAGGGCTAGCTAATTATAATTATCGGAAAATAGAACATATTGATAAAATATGAACATTTTAGTAATGGATTATTACAGTCATAATTGTGACAAAATGTTATATGTATTTCAAGATGAGTTTCAATCACATAACTATTATGTTTTGGAAACGAACTTTATGAAAGAGTTCTCTGTATCAGGGAAAAAACAAGCAGTATACTTTTACTAAATAATGTCTGTAAGCCTGTTTCTAAGTTACCTTTTCATCGATAAAATTCTCATCGGAAGATTAGTGATGATTGATTATGTTTGTTAGTAATGTATGAAATTAAATTTGACGGATTAACTAACAAATTAAGCTTCACTAATCCTTCTTCATGAACAATAGTAAATGCATATAATCAACGAATTCAATTATGAAACCAAGAAAAAAAGGTTTAAGCATTTCGTATGTAATTCACGAAACATAATCAGTCTGATTTTGAATTCTCAAAATATTTTAAATGTAAATATCTACTTTCTAATATTCTCTGTTGAAGCCACGTATCGGATAAAAGGTACACACTATTGATGGGTTTCAGGACGAAAACCAGTTACCTATTGTGTGTTTCTAGCTTTACAGGTATTGTCCAGCTGAAATAAGTTATTTCCAAATGAATGGAAGATCATAGTAGATAATATCGTTATGTATAGGGAAAAATGTTCATATATGTAACATTCAAGTTGTCAAGATAAAATATTTATAATTTACCTTTAAAACCAAACGTTCCTTGTTCAGTACTCACAATTAGTTGATCACCTGTTGAAGACATTTTAAATAGGTGCAGAAATAAAATTCATAAAAATGATTAAAACAAAATTGTTGTCGAATCAATAGTCTGATCAGTCTCATTTAATGTTTTTTTTTCAATGTTTATATCAATGCGTTTAATTGTTATTTATTTACTTTTACAGGAGGGTTAACTAACATTAACATAATTTCAGATTACTTATCGTCATTTTCTGAAAATAGTTTCCGTCACAATTCGATGTCCGGTGAATAGTTATTAAAAACAAAAGAGATTTGAGTTGTTGTTCCATCATAGTTTCAGGGTTATGAACAATATAAAATCTTAATTCTAAATAAATCAAAGTCTTTTTAATACATTATGTTAAGATCCAATGACTCTTACTCTTAAATTGAGTCATTTTGTGATATAATATAATCTTTGCCTAATGATAGCCTTATTTATATTATGATTAACTCCACTGTTATGCGTCTCAAACTAGAATGAGACAGTTTTTCAGTGATGCCCAGTTTTAAAAGGTTCTATGTTCGGTATCATTTTGAGACGCTATTATCTGGATTAATTAGAAGTTAAAGCAAATAGTTAAGGTACCTTCTAATATTAGGTATTTGGTGATAAATATTTTAATTTCATACACATAGTTCCCTTTATTATCTTAAATAGAGCAAGAACAAAGATTGGTGCAGGCTTATTGTCACCAGGCGATTCAGTGACTTGAATGACTGTGGAGGGAGACGCATTTTGAGAAATTTCATACACATAGTTCCCTTTATTATTTTAAAGAAAGCAAGAACAAAGATTGGTGCACCAATCTTTAAAATATTTCAATGTCATCATTATTATTAATAATATAGACGGTCATTTCGACCCAAGTATCATTATTACCCTACAGATTTGTGTAATAATGAGTTAATGGTGAGTATTTGGATTGATTAAAAAGTATTAAGAAACTAATGCATTTTGTTAAAAACTAATATTCCTGAATTTTTATTACCATATAATATTTTCAAGGATAATTGGACCATTTAAATCCTATGGTTATATTAAAGATATCACATTTGAAAAACTCTGCCATCATTTATACACATCCAATTTTACTTAAGTATATCACTTTGTTGCTATGATTCTTTTCAACTTATTAATAAAATAAATTTGAGTAATGTTTGTTTTCATATAGAAGTATGTTGAGACTAGTTTCTTCTAAATCTGACTCCAATAAATGATATCCCGTTAACTGAACATTTAAGGTAGGCTAAATCTCCTAGTAGAATTATGGATTTACTCGAGATTATTCAGATGCCTAAACACCAATTGTAGAGATATTTTGTTAAAGATAAATAAAATCCGCAGGCGTACAGTAAGCAAGCACACTGTGAAGCTAAAAACGTATGTATGTGTGTGAGTTAAAAATTCATATGTATTTTTGAGTGTGGATAAACTATTAATTATCTGTATGTTACAACCAATAAGAGAATAGATTAAGAATTGATGTGCAGACACGCGCTCAATCATACACACACAGAAATTAACATAATGAATTAAGTGTCTGAATTACAGTGAGCAGACAAATAATACAGTAATTGAATGGGCTTGCTACAAGTATAGAAAATGATATTCATTGTTTAATCATGAACATGATTTTAGTGGAGTTTTGTTTTCTGAGCTGGATGGTTTGGTCCAGCTCAGAGAACAAAACTCCACCAAAATCATCCACCTGAGCTACAAATCTTCTCCACCATCTCAAAATCATATGAGTGTAATACGCTTGTCGTTGTTCGAAAATGGGAGAATTTCGCCAAAAGGCAGGCTTCCGTTCGAGAACAAGTATATTTTCTTCACACGATCAAACCATCCAGCTCAGAGAACAAAACTCCACCAAAACCATCCACCTGAGTTGCAAATCTTCTCCACCGTCTCATGAACATGATTGTTAAAAATAAAATAAAAGTTTTAGGTTAAAGTATTGACATACATTTTCTTCTTCAACAGAGATCAACAATGAAAATAACATAAATTCTCAATAAGCACTTATAAAACAAATGGACAGAAAGTACAAACCGACATAGATGTATATGATTATCTTACCCCAAACATCTCCACATATAATCTCTGATTGAGTGCATTTATATATTAATTTAGGTTGCCATAACTGCAATGAAATCAAAATAAAGTAACATAATGAATTATGTTTATTCCATAGAAACTGACTCTTTTCTTTCAATCCAAAAAAATATTTTTTTTCTTATAAAATGAAAAAAATTTATTACCCTAATTTATTTTATCAGAAAAAAAAACTATTGATGAGACTATTAAAATTTAAAGAAAAAAACTGACGATCATTGATATGTTCCTTAAAATGCTTAGACTTTCTTTTTCACCTATTAAGACAAGTCTTAATTAGTTTGATAAAAAGAAATTAATTATAATGTGAAGTTTTGAAGCTTGAAAAAAAATTGATTTAAGCAATGGAATATTTTAACAAAGAAAGAATTTATAATGAAAATATCTAAAACCTTTGGAAAGGTTTTCACCTTTATCATTAAGTAACCATGTTTTCAATTTGAACATTAAGCGTTTAATTATTATTATTATTATTTGAACACATAAATATTAGTACAAACAAGAACCGAATACATATGCACCACACATGTCACTTGATTTGTGTATGGGCTGTGATACTCCCTGGGTGCACAAACCGAAGCAGATGGTTTTCTTAGAGGGCCACACCTGGAACCTTCGACTTAAATGTCTGATCCACAAAGGAATGCAGTAACGTCAGGCGATGCAGTCCTAGAGTAGCTGGTGACCAACGATTGGTTCATACGCCATTTGTTGTTTCAGGATCCTAGAGTCCATGTGCACTATTGGTTTGGAATCAGGATTTTTGAACACCCCCCCCTAGATGAATCCTCCGTATCCATCAAGCCGATTAAGGCGCTGGGCATTCGCTTCTCATCTTCTCAATTTAATAAACAACAGTAATACCGTGAGAAGGAAGTAAATGGAACTTCCCTATCAGTGGCTGTATACACGTGGCAGTGTGAGAGCGTTTGGAGTGGGAGAGCTGACTCTCCTCACCCTCTGCTAAACTAGGGCATTTGAGGGCAAAACATTTGATAATATTTGTATAAAAAAGCAAAATGAATAACGAAGGACAAAATGATTTATAACGACTATGAAGAAAGATAGTACAGTCATCAGGGTCCGAACAAAACGGATTATAATTCACTATACAGCTAGAATTCTAAGAGTTCTATAACATATATTAGTTTGAATTAATGTCTAAACACGATTTTCCTCAGAATTGTGTTTTAGCCCCAATATTGCATCAGTATAATGATCAAAACCCCCAGGAAACATAATATTTATTAAGATAGTGACTGGATGCAATCATCACACGTACAATTCATTCTGACTGAGACGGTTTGACAAAAATGATTAGATCCAAACTTTGAATTCAACCCTAGCAATGATCTTTAAGTTGTCCTGTTAATCAAAAACAAGATTTATATCTCGGTAGTCAATCAAACATTTCATGAAAAGTAAAATTCTTTGTCTATGGCACACGTTATATGACAGTTTAGAAGACAAGAAATATGATACTGATTAAGTCAAAAACTAGAAAATATAGTATGATGTAATAAAATGTTTTACCTACTTCAGTTGGGTTTTTTTTTGTTTAAGATCAATTTCAAGTGAAAACTCAGCATTTTACCTAAAGAATAGTATACCTCTATCTGTTTATGTCTCTAATTAAAATTAACAACTGAATCTTGTTAAAAGCTTGTTTCAGATAGATGTACGGTTAGTGCATTCATCGCAAAGTCCATTAATCAATTGCTCACATTGATATCTAGATCTAAGTATAATATGGTTTCCAATTAGTATCTTTGAAAAGGGGGTCCAGTTGCCATTAATTATTATTACTTCAAATACGTGATGAATTGAGTATTACCTTTAGTTGAAAACCGCAAATTATAAGTAATATAATTATAAAGATAATCAAGATACAACTATCATCCTATCGCCTTAACATATCCTGTCTGATACCGTACTATTATACGCCTAAATAAAATACAGACAGTTCAGCATAGAGGTTTTCTCTGATGATGTCATTTACTAAGGCTATATAGCTGTATCTATAGTTATTGGACTCAGTATTTTCTTAAAAATTAGTTCAAAGATATTATGTCGTTATTGAAGTTATAAGACATTTTAAGATTCAAGGATGCGGGATACGTGACTACAGTTGACCTAATGATCAACCACAAATCTGTTGACTGATTTGAATTCTTCTTTAGATAGATACGTGGAATGGTTCTCCTATGTCTGTTCGAAAAGAGATTAGATTTTGATGCAAATCTAACCTATTTTTCTCAAGGACATAAAATGATATATGAACATCATGGTAGCTTATAGTAGCAATTTATAAGTGGCATATTTTGGAATTCAGAGTCCGGGCGATTGATAGATCTTTTTAAGAGTTATCATAAGTCCATTTTCGAAGACCAATAGTTTAAATTCAGTGTTCACAAACAAAACATCTTTCCATTATTATTAGGGTGCTTTCCGTCCATAAGTTTTTAATTTTGTGTTACTGTCAATCAATCTAAGAGGAAATCTTCTTTCATTATTGTACATTCCTGAATGAACAATAAACTATATAAGCTTATTTATCATATTCTTATCATATCCTTACTTGACCTAAAAAGCTGGTTGTATATGTCCGTAAAAACTGAGCTATTTAACATTTATTCTAATCAATTTATTGGCCTAGTTTCTAAACTATCATGGATTCAATTTTCTTAAGTTAGCATTACAATTAATATAATAACCGATATTATTTAAATATAAAATAAGTAAAACTGTCCCATACAACAATAGGTAATGAAACTTATATTGTTTTCATAATTTAATTTAACCCTGTAAGTTTACGAGTGAAATTCATGTTTTCTGATCTAGTTTTCTACATATTTATTTTATAAGCAAAAATGAATAGTAACTAGCGGTAGAATCCAGGACGCGTGTTTCGTCCTATCTGGGACTCGTCAACTGAATGTACCTGCATCTCAGAGTTGATGTTCACTCTAGCACTCGAGCCAGTGCCGATCGCTTCAAACGCCATCACGTTATCCACTTAACTACTGAGTCTTGATAGCCACTTGCTTGTGCAATGAGATGAAGTTTAAATTCATTTGGTATTATTTTACTTGAATCTTCCCATTGATATTTAACACTGCAATTGATCATTGTGTTATTGGCATATGTGCATACTGTGTGTATTGCCTCAATATTGCTTTAATTCACAAGTATGAATTCCACTGCTATCCACTATCCATTTTTGTTTAGAATGCTTGTAAATTAAGGTAATATCGAGGCAATACACACAGTATGCATATATGCCAATAAGAAACTGTTTTTTTTTCATGGTCGTAGAGCATTGATTATATGAATAGTCCATTCAATCTTAAACACTTCATGCATATATTTACAAAACAAAACAATTTCTCTGGAAAATATTTTCTTTCATCTTAATTTAATAAACATTAAAACTTGAATATTTCACTGTTTCTATGCTTATAGATAAGGACAGAGAAAAAACAATCAAACAAACAAACAAACAAGTTAGATGGGGTATTTAGATTTATACTCTATTCAAGGGATATCGATTCAATGAATCGATAAATGTGACTGTTTTTAAATTTGTTTATTTGAAATAACCTCTTTAATCGACATAAACATAATTATTTTAATAGAACAATGATAAGTTCACATGATTACATAAATATATACTTATCGAAGAATATATTATTCGCTTCCGCATAAATAGTTTAAGGAATATAACGTTTTCAAATCATGTTAATTGTTACTTAGTTAACCCACAATATAGTTTTAGACTTATACTCATTGTTATGGATTATTGATTTAACTTTGCCAGGTTTCGTACATCCTATTAAAGAATATAGAAAGGAAATTATAGTGGTAGAAATTTCTTTCGATAGTCTGCTTTGAGCATCTATTCAGGGAAATAAAAAAATGATCTTATATAAATAGGGCTGTAAAACAACTATGAACTGAACAATTGTTCAGTAGGGTTAAGATGTTAAATATAGGTCTTTAAAGTATACATGTAACAGAGCAGAAAACTTTTAGGCAAAGATGGATGGTGGCTAGCAATAGAATCCTTGCTTATAAAGCTTGTGACTAAAGGTAATATCAAAGCAGCTTGCACAGAATGATTGTATGTCAACAATAGACTGATCAATTATAATCTTAAAACGACAATGGGAATATACAAGTAAACGATACCAAGTAAATTTAAAGTAATAATTTGTTAACAAATTTAATTGAAACGCCTATTTGTGGATACTTTATCAGAGTCAAATTCTTAATTCGTTTCTTACATATAATCATTTATAGATAAAACATCAATAACACAGATTGAAATCATGAGTCAATTGAAGCTAGACCATCATGGAAAACCTGGAAGCACTGGACGGTCGTTTTGTCCTATTATGGGACTCCTCAGCAGTGCGCATCCACGATCCCGCCTCGCGGGATTCGAACCCATGGCTTATCAGTCTCACGCACGAGCACTTAAACACTAGACCACTGAGCTGGCATCCAACGGTGTTAATGTCCAACGTCAACTAATCTCTAATTGGATGTCAGTTCAGTGGTCTAGTTGGTTAGTCGTTTGGCGTGAGACTGATAGGCCCTGGGTTTGAATCCCGCGAGGCGGGATCGTGGATGCGCACTGCTAAGGAGTCTCATAATAGAACAAAACGACCGTCCAGTGCTTCTAGGTTTTCCATGATGGTCTAGCTTTAATTGACTCATGATTTCAATCTGTGGAATTTCTAAAATCTCCACAAACCCCTTCTGATAAAACATGAATAAGGCAAGTTATTGTATTAATTTCTTTTCAAAGAACAATTAAGAAAACTTGACTGACAAATTTTACTGAAACAAGTTAAACTTCTGTACAATAGAAATGAGTAGTAACTACTCTTTAGTTTTAATTTGATGGTATTATTATTAAATTTCAAATTTTCTACAACTAATCACATTTAATTCACATTTAATCACTAGTCTATCGAATGACTTTCATTGTGTTATTATTCAGATTCGTTATCGGGTATATTATACCACAAACATTTAAGCTTGATTGTTGTTTCATTCTATAGAATTGTTTCACACTTGAAACTTTGGGGTTGATTTCGGTTCACAACACCAGATAACAATTATGTATAACAAGTGATGCATCCAAATAAACATACTTTATCTGTACTAACCATAATTTATTTTCACTATTGGGTTGTGGTGATTATTGAATCTTAATAAAGTCAGAAATCGATTAAAGATAGACAACCATTAAAACTTCACAACGAAGCAACCGGAGATCGAACCCAGGACCCTGATCGTGAGTGCGAAGCATTAAAAGATACTAAAGTAGGACGAAACAGCTGTTCATTGATTCCAAATTTTTAACGGTTGTTTAATTTGGATCACTTTGTAGTTTAAGTAGTATTATTTATTTGTGGTATGAAACTATAATAAAATTTACTTAGAACCAAAATAAAACATGAATGAATTTTGATATGAAATGGCGTGGTTCTTATGGAAACGATGTACACTTTGAGGCTTGAAATTACTTGATTGTAACTTATATTTACAAAAAATGTAGTATAGTGAACCAGGTAACTGAGAAATATAAACTTACTATATATATACAATACCTTAATTCATAATATAACAATATATAGATGGTTCCCGATAAAATTTAGGCTTCTAAAGATTCTAAATCAATTGATCAATTTCTTTCAGTGATATACATCCAACTAATGATATTTGAAAACACCAGTTTTTAAAGTGTAATCATAAAAATTTTAAGAAGTATTTTCTCACTATAATCAAACAGTAAACTATTTAGTTCTAAGCTGACTTAAGATTAGTTAATTTTTTGATAAATTATGTTAAACAAAATACGAAACTATCTAATCAAAATAAATTGACGCTTATCAGTATGCACATTTGTGTAGATCATGGTATTTTCACAGTTCTAGTTCCACGTGCAAGATCTTGAATGTGCACTACTGATAAGTCTCAGATTAGGGCGAAACGGCCATCCAATACTTTTAGGTTTTCATTGGTGGTCTAGCTTAAGTCGACTCGTGATTTCAAGTGTGTAAATTTATTCTATCTATAAAAATGCCATAAAAGTTATACTTCGCTTTTTTAAAAGCCTATAATATTGTTATTATAATAAAGTTAAGACAACATGAAGTATTTTGAAATGCGCAATAAACGTAACGATTAATAAATTGTCTTACATTTTTTCTTGATTGACCACTAGTTATGGAACTAGTTGGAGCGTCCCCTCTAATTATTGTATTTAACTTCAACATCTAGTAACACAAAATGAAATTAACATTCAAATTAGTAATTCAATATGAATGTATTGATGAATAATAATTAACGAAATAATAATATTGCTTTCGAATAGTTGAGTGCATGAGTCAGTTGGAACTAGACCATCATGAAAAACTTGGAAACATTGGATGGCCGTTTCGTCCTACTGTTTAACTCCTCAACAGTGCGCATCCACAATCCTGCCCCGCGGGATTAGAACCCGGGACCTACTGATCTAGCTTAAATTGACTCATGAAATCAACTATTAAATTACTACAATCACCACTAAACTCCTTTCTGCTGTTAAGTTATTATCTACAAGAACCCCTTCTGATCATATTGTTTTCATTATTGACTGTCAAATTTTATTTTTCAATATAGTATGTGAAATCAAAAAATATCGAAAAGGTTTTCGATTATTATTGAATCTTTTTCGAGTAAATATTTATGGATGATTTTTGGTTAAGAGACTGAAGTAAACACTGGAGGAAACATGTCACCTTTTAATCAGTTAAGACAATAATAATTATATATATCTTTCAAAACTCATTCACCTTGTGATTTAATGTTTTATATTTAGTTTCTAATAGGTAGATTGCTTCGTTTGATATAGAAAAATTCAAGAATATTGTACGACATCATCCTAAATATGTATTTAACTTAATGTATCTTACGAATTAAGCCTTTGTATTTGTTAATTAATTAGAAGAAAGAGAGTGATGAATAAATTTTTGAACATCTGAATTAAAGCATGAACTTTGAAAAGTAAGTGAACAAAAATCACTGCGGTATTATGTATATTATACTGAGAGTTGCTTAGGTATCATTACCAAGGTTTGATTTGATAACTTCGAATAAATTGAGCATTGAGTTGATTGTTATAAATAAAAATAATATATTTGTAATATCCCAATGAGTAGAAAATTAGATTTTCTGGCGTTTCGTGACTTAGTGTAAGTCACTTCTTCAGAGAATAAATAACCAAATTGTTCCGTTGTACTATTTAAACTTGGATTAATTTTAATTTGGTTATTTATTCTCTTAAGAAGTGACTTACACTAAGTCACGAAACGTCAGAAAATCTAATTTTCTACTCATTGGGATATTACAAATATATTATTTTTATTTATGAGAGTTTCTTAGTTTAACCTCGTTTCGTCTTATTCGGGATTCGTTAGCTGGATGTGCCTGCATTTCATAGTTGATGTTCACTCCTGGACTCGAACATCAACTCTGAGATGCAGATACATCCAGCTAATGAATCCCAAATAGGACGAAACGTGCGTATATAAGACTGAATTAATGAAGCGATCAGTGTATAAAACTGTTGGCCAATATAATCAAAGTAAAATCCAAGTTTAATGCAACTGAATTTATACATGAATTACTTTCTAGTTATCATGTACTTGTGGTGGAAATCATCTCGAAAGAGATAATCGTTAATAGAAAATCGAAGAAAAATGAATCTTACATTTTCGTTTTGGTGTTGGATTTATCAAATTACATTGAAAAAAAGATTTTTATATAACTTATGAAATGTGTATAATTAATCGATTTTACTTACTTGTCCATATCTGATATGTGCATCATTACGACTTTGTTCTTTACTTGTTGTCACTCCATTGAATGAATCAACTACAACATCACTAAATGCTCGTCTATAAATTGCACCATTCTTGATAATATCAACAAAGAAGAAATTAGAAAAGAAAAGTTATTTGTTTCAATTAAGTTAATAACATTATGTTTTCAATATGATAATAATAAAATACAAATTCAGTCAGATAGATCATGAAAGTATTTTCGTCTTGGATTTCATTGCTAGTCGCTACCCATCTTTGCTCATAAAGCCTGTGACTAAAGGCAATATCAAGACAGTCTGCATAGGATGCATGTGTACCAACAAGAGACTGACCACTTATAGTCCTAAACAATAATGGGAATACACAAGCAAACAATGCCAAGTGAATTTAAACTCATTAGTTTTTATATAGTTGTATAAATTATTTTCATTAATCAAATTTTAATGGTTCTAAAATAATTATTAGAATGAGGGTTTGTGAAGATCGTAGCAATTTTAACAGTTGAGTTGATGTAAGTTAGACCATCATTGGAAACCTAGAAGCACCAGAGGGCCGTTTTGTTTTAGTATCGGACTGTTCAACAATGAACATCCACGATTCCGCACGGGCGACTCGAACCCAGGACCTTCAGCCTCGCTTAAGAACGCTTTACCTGTAGACCACCGAGCAGATATTCAACGTTGTTAATGTCTAACTGCAACTTTAATCCATGAGTTCCAAAATAACTTTGTAATAAGACAAAAAACTGCCGGAATTGTTTACTTTTAAATTATCAACTATTCTCATACATTATACAACTTCAAATTGATAATCATTATCACTGGAATGTTTATAGTAGCCTTAGATCATTTACCTTTGAACAATTAACTTTACCTGATTAGTTTGTGTTTTGTTTTGTTCATCTATTCATGGAGTAGCTGAGGGCATTCCTACTGTTTGTTTTGAATTGTGCATTGCTTTTTCTACTTAGTTTTGCTCTCCAGCTTGTGTGAAAAATACTTTTACTTATGAGTTCATACTTGGTTCTTGATTTCGCATTTTACTGAGGTGGATTAGTAGTGTTCTGATCTTAAGGCACTAAGATATAATCTTGGTAGATCTAGTTAGCAGATTTTTGTGTGCACTTACCTGTCATTCTATTGTTTCAAGCATTACTGATAAAGGTTTCATCGGTGATCTATTGATAGATCATACATGCTGATTAGATATCTGTTCACATTTACAAAAAGTCCTATTCATTTAAAAACTAAAATATGAACCACATAGTTTGTATTTTAGTGGCTACTCAGTAAGTTTAGATACTCATAGAATATTCAAAGAATAAACATGACTCGATTTTACTATCATTTACAAGCACGTTAACAGTAAACACATTCACGAACAATACATGTAAGTAATACCAACAGGTGAATTGAAACAGTTATACGAAGGTCATCTGAGGGCTAATTATTGAAAAAACAATTTGAAAGCCAAGAATTTACAAAACAAAAATTCACTTACATTTGCTTCACTTGTGTAAGTAGTGAATATTGCATTCAATAGCATCTCTAAGGTGCGTTGTCGTTTTTGTGCAAATACTGGTGATCTAAAGGCAGCCTTTTCACCATTGATTACTAAAGTTTAAACGAAATATTAAACATAAAATACATTGACGTTAATCATCGACATTATATTGATGTAGATGAAACAAATGAAATATGTGTTGGTTGATTTTATTTGGCACTAAATTTAGAGTCGTTATTGTTAAATTATGCAACAGGCAATATAGAAAAAAATGGTTGTGGGAAATATGAAAATTTTAATACAGAACCAGTGAATGATCGATTATTAGAAGATAGGTCAACTGATCAACAAAGACAGTCATCTTGTAATGAAGAATGTTTAGTCATAAACAAACATAGTTGAAATTTATGTCAAAAGTAAATAATGATATTATAGGACATTCATCACTCAATAGATATGAAATCTAACTATCATGCCTCTCTGTTGCTTGTCATAGAGAAATATCCATTTACCGAAAAAAATACGTAGGTAATTTAGAAATTGTTAATAACAGATACTTCATCAACTAACAGGTGATCACCATTATCAGTGCACCTATGCAGCAACTGAAAATAATTTGAATTCTGTTACTTGACCCATGTCAATTAAACTGTTTAGTAATTTTTATAAATTCTGTGAATATCACGTACTGATCTTGTTGATATACAGTGAAATACGATCAATAGTTTCGATCCAGTTTCTTTTTTTTTTTGAAAGTTTTTTCCTGATTACCTAATTTCATGCATGTATTTATGATAATTAAATAATTTACAACTCTAATGCCTTATTACCGAATTGCATTTGGAATTTTAGAGGATTTCGGCGGAAACGAATCATTATTTGTTTATCTCTACTAAGGAATCGTAAATATTTAGAAAAAATCCGACTTATCCTCGTTTTAGTAAACATAGTAATAATAAATGGACAAATATATATATATATATATATATATATATATATATATATATATATATATATGACTGTACAATAAAAAGCTTCATTTATATAACTATTGATAGTTTTCCTATTGGTTCTTTTGTTTAAATAATTTGTTACTGTGACACTGAACACGGTTACTTGAAGTATACATAAAATTAACTAGGTCAAACGGAAAACGTGAGCACAGAAAAAGAAAACTAACGCTTAGTTTATATATATATATATATATATATATATATATATATATATATATATATTTGAAACTGTGTTATATTATTTAAAAATCAAAAATGGGAACTTAGTCAATTTATGAAGTTTACTTGGTTACATTTAAAATAAAAAAAGATCTTTGTTCTCAATGAAAGTATACTTTAGCTGAACCTACTCGAGATGATACGAAAAGGATAAAAGTGGGGGAAAAGAAAACTTCATAATTATTATTTACACTAAAAAAAAAATCTATTTTACTCAGGTGAATCTAATAATTATTTATTTAATAAAAGGTTTAATAAAAAAAAAGGAAATGGAATTTTGTAAATCCATTCAGTAAATCCACTAAAGGTATTGTCTATTATTATTATTACCATTATTACTATTAGTATTACCATTATTACTATTACCACCATTACTATTATTTAAAACTGACTGAACAACAGTTAGAAACAAAATGATTTGCAAACATTTATTTCATTCAGTCTTGTAAACAAAAAATAAGGGCATATATTTATAGCATGTTAATATTGGACTAAATTAGGAAAAAAGCCTTGGTATTGATTTAACTTCTTTGCATTATATAATATTCATGTCATGCAATATACCTTCAACTTAATAACTAAACAATTATATTATGCAATTAGTTCTTTTTATAAGTTTAATTAAATTTAAAACAAATATGCGATTGTATGAACTATTTATGACAGTATACGTAGAATTTTGCTCAGTGGAATGCCTGGAAGATAAATTTATTCTCATAACAAATTGACTATATGAAAATACATATCCGGTGAAGTTCATCATGAAGCATGCAAAAACCAAATATGATACAGTTGAAAAGAAAATCTGTTTCTTATATTTGAGCTTTAAAGGAGATGAAATCACTAGAATATTGACGACAGGATAAATTCCGTGTTGAAAGTGGCTTATCTATCAGCAAAACTGACAACGTTATGTGAAATGAAGTGCTCGCTCAAACAAACAACAATTAACAGGTCCTCTTTTCTCAGTAGCTCCAACTGCATTTAGCAATTTACTTGTACGTCCCAAAGCACATACGTTGGAATAACCGAGAAAAGAGTACATGTTCTCAATTCCGAACATGTTTCAAAGAAATTGAGACTGTGAGGGGCAATGGCTCTTAACAATGCAATAGCTAGGCATTTATTTGACACCCGGCACACCACTGACCTTCTAACTTTCAAAATTATTAGCAGACAATGAAATACAGAGTCTCTTCGGTTTGCTGAATTAATAGCGATGAAAAACTCAAATCCGATTTATGTATCCAAAAACAGGCAGTAATCAAACTATTACCATCCTGATCAACCATTCTTGCCATTATCTTTATTTTGTTGGTGTTCATTTTGTTATGCAGTCTTGCCTAACGGAATTATTATCTTTTGTACCCCTTCATCCATAAATTTCCATTCATTCAATGTAAACTCTTCAAACGCTGTTCAGTTATTATGTAACTCGCCTTATCAGTTTTTTAATTCCAGGATTCTTATGTAAACCCTTCATAACCTCTAAAATTATTACACAATTTATCTTATCTGTCTCTGAATCTCGCTTAATTAATGCATCACTTATTTCTAGAGTTTTTTTATTCTCAGTGGTTAAGATCATGAGTCAGTTGAAGCTAAACCACCTAGGAAAACCTAGAAGCACTGGACGCCCGTTTCGTCCCATTGTAGGACTCCTCAGCAGTGCTCATCCATGACCTCGCCCCCCGTGAGATTCGAACCCAGGACCTACGAGTTTCGCGCGCGAGCACTTAAACACTAGACCACTGAGCCGGCATCCAACGGTGTTAATGTCTAGCTTCAACTAATCCACGACATTGAGCGACAACAATAAATGACTACCAACCTGTTGTTATTTATTATTGATAACCTTTGTCATTCTAATTTTTATCATCCTATCTATTCTATCTATGTCAATTGTTTCACACTATATCTTACCTCAATGTAGGCTTTTAATACATATATAACTGTAAGCAGCTAATGAGAAACCACGAAATATAATAAATTCATATTATTCCGCATCCATGTTTGTTCTGACCTTATTTAAACAATTATTGACATTATGGGGTTATGGAGATTGTTGAGGATTGAGAAATCCCGTACTAGAAAAACGCGGCCGTCCAGTGCTTCCAGGTTTTCAATGGTGATCTAACATTCATCGATTCATGATCTCAATCAAAAAATCATTATTGACTTATTTATCAAATCACTTTCTCTTATTTCTACTTTCTTAAATATCAACTAAACCGCCAAAAAAAAGGGTACATAATTTACATACAGCAAGTAGTTAGCATCAGGTTTCCTATAATTCATGGATGAGTGATGGCTGTAAATATCTGAACAATGAATCAATCCTTTGTGGTGTAAGGTCTTGTTTTATTTTGAGATTTATCAGTCAGCTTCGTTTTTTATGATATAAGTAAATTGATTTCATCAACTGTGAGAGTATTATTGCAAATTACCTCATCACCACTGTTGTATCTTTTAAAAATAAATACAGTTTGAAAGTCTGCCTTTAAGTTTAATTTCAATCCGAAATGGTCGGTAAAACTCAATAATTGGTGTGGAAGAAAAGGAAATTTATTTGAAATTAAATTGGTTGAACCTGACAGTTGTTCAAAAGTTTACTCTCGCCTCGAAAATTTTGGTTCAAGTGAAGATATAAAATGTTTGGTATCAACTTCTATAATGTAGTAAGTGCCTTAGGAAAAATAATAGATAAGCAGTCACCAATATTCAGTATTCTTTACTGTTGTTCACAGCTACTGATGAATTCGATGGTAATTATCTGATTCTTTCAAATAAAATAAGTCATCCATGCAAACAATCAGTCTTTACTTCGATAACTGAAATATATTTATATCTGATTTACAGCCACTGAGTGATCCTGAAATTTGTATCAGTAAATTGTCATGTTGTTAGTTAGTAAAGTTATATTAATTGTCATCACAAATCTTAAATATGCATTTAACTGGCAGCTGATTTAAATTAATTACTGTCTAGTTCCATAGATTTACGTTTGCGTATTGACCAGATAAGTAAATCACATACAACCCAGTGGAACGTTTTAGATATTTTGAATCAGTGACTGATTCCATCGTAAATTTATCTTTGTGATATCCATAATTTTTAATGTGTGGTTTAAACTATTATTTATACGAAGCAGAATCAGTTCTTGTTTAGTTATACAAAGGAAGTAGTCAGACTTTTGTGACTCCAAGTAGATCGTATAAATGATCGGTATTGAATGATTGCTGTCGAAATATACATCCTGACTATTTTTGTATGTTATCATCAACTTAATCCGCGTTAGTGAATATAACGGAATTAAATAAGCCAAATACGAGAATGGATTTTGAATATGTGTATTTCATGCACTCAGTGATTTGAAGAGGTAATCAGGGGGACGAAACAAAAAGAGAGCAAAGTAAAACGATCCGCAATGAAGAAGGCGTGTAAACCAACTCTATTTAATCAGGCGTTAATCAATATTTATGATCACACAAAAATAAGCTACAAATATGTGATGAGTAGGATAAGATGTTCACATACATATACTTATATAAAAACAATCAGGGTTGATAACTGAATAATTAACAAGGTCAAAACGTGACTCAGGAAGAATGAATAAATTAGCCTGTCCAGAAGCTAGAATAAGTCATACGGGCTTAACGTGTGTTAAAAAACAAAAACAAATAGCCCTATCGGTGATTGTTACAGTATTTTTATCAAGTTATAGCAATAACTGATATAACTGAGATATGATAGATCTACACTGTAATAACAACTGGTATATGAAGACACTGTATGAATGATGTCAGCTAAATACGGTTGTTTCTTCGAGAAATCTGAGAGATAATATTTGATTTTTAAAAACAAAAATACCAGTAATAATAGAAGAGGATTTATGCCATATTTAATATTATAGCTAATTCTACAGTCAGTGTTCATATTCAAAGGAAAAAAAACATTCTCATAGTAAAACAATAAGCAATAGGAATCTAGAATGTTTAACACAGAAATGTTTTGAAGGAGAATAAAACGTTCCGAAATTCTTTCATATACCCCTACACTGCTAAGCATCACAAGTATAAATATATATATAGATATACAGGGTATATATGAGGCATTAGTAGAGGTCATCCACTATTTCATTCTATCGAATCAAACCTTCAACCATTACAATTTATTAAGCTGTTGTAGCTTACAGTTTATTAACAAATATGTATAATTATATCTAAGTAAACGTTTAAGAAAAGTACGCTTCAAATGTCTTACATTTTACTAAAAGAAATTCACGAAATTCTTGTGGATTTTTAAATTCTGGTGGATTATAAAGTGGTGGTCCAAAAATGGAACTGATTCTTCAGCAAATATATTCAATCTAAAAACAAATTAGTATCATAGAATTGAAAATGATTTTATTACCTGTAAACATTTGCTTCATTATCATATGTTACCACAGCAAATATATCTAATGTTTTGGGGGGGGGGTAATTGAATAGTTCATTCATCAAGGAAAATATAATATGATGTTTTAATTAACCAATCAAAATATATTTCTAATAAGTAGTTTCATTTAAACAATTTAACATACACTTATATAATATAAAGAAAACAAACTATTAAAAATTAAATTATCAACAACATTCTATGATCAGCTAAGTAGGATAGAATAGATTAGATCGTTTGGTAAGAGTTATTGTGACATGTATATTCAGTGATTTTTGTAATGACAAAATAAAAACCATTTTTTTCTCCCTGATTTGTCCCACTTTATATGTAATCCCACTTATATTCAGTATCTATTGTTTCTCTGTATCAGTGGTAAAAAAACGAATATAATTGTTTGTTTATATACACACATAGATATACTACCGCGTTGGTTGAAATTAAAATGCTATCTACGCCATCTGTTCTTCTGCTTTATTGGCCACGATCTTTGATTGAAGATTATAATAATTGCTATAACATGTTTTTAGGCCTTCCTACACTACGTTGGATTTTGACCCGGATTATTATTAAATAATACTATTGAATTTAATCTTTCTCATTGTGCTGTTGTGCCACCATGTGAAAAGGAATGTTCGGTAATCAAATAAACTCATTTGTGGTTGTTATCCCAGAGAAAAGCTTACAAGTAACATTCATTTCATAACAATTATCATTTTGTTGTTTAATATACCATTTATATTGTAACTGTAATTAGTTACCTTTTTGCTTTATTCATAGACAGACACTTAGGGTTGCAGTGTTAACTTTTTTTGTATATTATTGGTAACTTTGCGTATTGCTATTTCTTGAATAAGCTCTATTTTGCTGGGACCCACCACAGAGTCTACTGATTAATTTTTTTTGAAATTTAATTCATTTTTTAACATGTTCACTAATAATGTTATTGATAATGAGTGATCCAAGTTTATTTTGCTTATTTTTTCCTTGTGTTGAACATGTTATTATTTTACGATCTAATCTCCATATATACTTGAGCAAACGAATGATAAACTTGTGATATGATTCTTAGGTGCACCTATCAAAGCATAGTAATCAAATGACTTTGTTTTGAAACACAAATACTTTATCTTGATTACATCATCGTTTTGTTGTAAAAAAGGATACGAGTAAAATGAGTTCTCATCATAGATGGAGTCCATGATGGTTGTTGTCCAGGTGGGCATCCATCAACAAATATAATGTTGACTATATCATTCCCAATATGGCGTTTTCGTTCAATCTAGAGAAAATAAAACACGTACTGTATATTTATTAATAAAAAACGGATATTTCTGGTCTTTTCTAACTTAAGACATCGATTATTTGATTAATGTTATCTTTGTCTTAAAAACGTTTATCGGTAGGAAAGAGGTAACATATATATTTTAAGGAGTATTTAATAACGTCATTATTAAAAGAAACTGAACTGATAGTCAATCATTTAAGCATATTGTACTCAGACAAAAGTAGCAACACAGAGATTAGAAGTTCAGTTAGATCAGCGATCAAGCTAAAAAAAGTCTACTGGACTACTCATTCGTTACGATCAAAAAGAACGAGCTGGAATATTACTATGGTTTTAATAAACAATTATGACAGTGTAGGTTCTTCCTTATCGACCGTAGCTGTTACCTTAACGTGGGGGTTGGGCTTGCCTATCGTGATGACCCACCCGAGCTATATTGGCTGGAACATATGTTCCTGTAGGTTATGCCATACCAGACATGTCGATCGGAGAACGGTAAGACTAAAAGCAGCAACTCAAGGTCTGAGGGCGAAGTCGTACTGCCGACTGTAGAGGGCTGTGTCAGCAGTAAGGTTTTTCCCTCGGACAACCAGCATCTGCAGCGATGCTGCCTTATTACAAGGAAGGAAGGTGTTCCTTGGGCTCTGTGGTCTTGCTCCCAAGTCGTTAAAAGCAGAACTAATCCGATTTCCTTTTCAGGCTCCTCAAGAAATACCCTTCCACGGTGTGGGCAGCCGGGAAGTGATATAAGCTCATATACCCTTAACAATACACGAGACCAAGTTGGTCACATTCAAATCCTTCCTACACCTCATAATAACCCTTCTCACGTCCCTTCATCACCTCACACCGCTAGGGCAAACGATTTGAGTACGCAGAACGTTATTCCTGGTCTCCTGAAACCACGCTCTAAACTACACGTAGGAGCTTTTAACGTACGAACACTTTGCCAAATAGGACAGCAGGCTTCCTTAGCTAAAACTTTAGAATCTCGCGCCATCGATGTGTGCTGCGTCTCCGAAACGCGCATACAGGATCCGAGTAGCGTCATTCATTTGACCTCACCATGCCAAAATAAAGAACCGACTCGATTTACGCTTCGTGTATCTGGAAGCCCTGATTCTGCTTCCCGTGGCCTCGCCGGCGTAGGTATAGCATTGAGTCCTAGGGCAGAACTAGCTCTCTTAGAGTGGATCCCAGTAGACAGTCGTTTGTGCGCTGTCCGACTGAACGGAACAGTAAGAATCCGGAAAGATAGGGACACTCGTCGTTGCCTCTTCGTCGTCTCTGCCTATTCTCCCACTGACTGCAGCTCAGATGATGTAAAAGATGAGTTTTACAGAAAGCTTTCGGACCTTCTCCGAAAAGCTAGGCGCTCGGATGTAGTAATAGTGGCCGGTGACTTTAATGCTCAAGTAGGTAAACTAAGCGATAGGGAAAGACACCTAGGTGGATCTTATGGTGTCGTGGCTCAAAGAACAGATAATGGCGACCGTCTGTTGCAGCTATGCTCAGATAACCGCCTGTTCCTTGCAAATACTAACTTTAAGCATAAGGAAAAACATCTTTTAACATGGCGACCCCCTAATTCGTCCCAACGTTGGACCCAAATAGATCACATCGCTATCAGCCACCGATGGAGGGGCTCGATAGAAGACTGTCGCTCATTCTGGAGCACATGCCTAGATTCAGATCATGCTCTAGTGCGAGCGCGTATTTGCTTGCGTCTTACTGGACGTAGGAAAGACGCTGCAAGGAAACCTCTTAGGGCCTACTTAATGATAGTCAAGCTAAGAGTATATTTCAGGAACAACTAGGAAAACAGTTAGGCAGCCATGTATGTGATGCCCACCCCGATGCAGCATGGAATGATATCCGAAAAGCTGTGGAAACAGCAGTGATATCTGCTAGTAAGGTAAACCAGAAGGTTAGGGAGCAACACTGGATCTCAGCAGCATCTATCGCACTGATAGATGCTCGGAAACTCATTCCACCTGGCTCTGAACATAATGAAGAGCGGAGTCAGCTTAAGCGCAAGCTGACAAGAAGTCTACGCAATGATCGCGAACAGTGGTGGGTAGCGAAAGCAAGAGAGATGGAAAAGGCAGCGGCAATAGGTAATAGCAGACAATTGTTCAGACTCGTTAAGGAAACCGGAATTAGGAACCCGACCGTTAGCGAAACAATCTCAGAGAAAGATGGACATATTATTCATTCTCAATCCAGGAGATTGGATCGATGGGCAGAACACTTTAGGGATCAGTTCAACTGGCCTTCAGCCACACTTCGGTTTCCCACGATCTCCAGTCAACCTGAATGGCAAGTTAATGTAGGTCCTCCGTCTCTTTACGAAGTTGAAAAAGCCATAGGAAATCTGAAACGAGGGAGAGCAGCAGGCCCTGACAGGTTTACTCCTGAGATTTTTAAGGATGGTGGTCCAGTATTAGCAATGAGATTAACTGAGGTCTTAGGTAGAATTTGGGAACTGGACGTAATCCCATCTGACTGGTCTCAATCACTGATTGTGCCAGTCTATAAGAAAGGACAAAAGTCCTCTTGTGACAATCACAGAGGAATCAGTTTGACTAATATAGTGTCTAAAATATTAGCTTCAATAATACTTCGACGCCTAACTAAAGCTCGTGAAGAGCAGACTAGAGAAAACCAGGCTGGTTTTCGACCTGGACGTGGTTGTATAGATCAGATATTCACACTACGTCAGGTTCTAGAACACAGACACACATTCAGACGCCCCACAATGGTAGTATTTCTCGACCTTAAGGCGGCATTCGACTCTGTTGATCGTGAGGTTCTATGGCAGTGTTTGTCACTGAAAGGAGTACCAAAGAAGTACATTAACCTTATAAAGGCTCTCTACTCGAACACAACTGGTAGAGTGAGAGCTTATGGCGAACTGTCATCAGAATTGATTACCTCAAGTGGTGTTCGTCAGGGCTGTCCACTCTCCCCATTCTTGTTCAACTTTGTCGTTGACGTACTTTTAGAGATAACACTCTCCTCATCTAAATTTCCAGGGGTTGAACTTCTACCGGGAGGTTCACTTGTTGACTTAGAATATGCTGATGACATAGTTTTATTTGGTGAAGACGCTGACAAAATGCAGAGTCTTCTGACCACTCTAAGCAACAATGCAAGCATGTTCGGGATGCGATTCTCCCCCTCGAAATGCAAAATGTTGCTTCAGGATTGGGTTACATCGACACCCGAACTAATGATAGGGAGTGAAGTAGTTGAGCGTGTCGACCGCTTCACTTATCTTGGAAGTCTCATCAGCCCTTGTGGTCTGGTGTGTGACGAAATCTCAGCACGGATACAGAAGGCTCGACTAGCTTTTGCCAACTTGCGTCATTTATGGCGTAGGCGAGATATCCGTCTATCAACCAAAGGACGGGTTTACTGCGCAGCAGTTCGTTCCGTCCTACTTTATGGCAGTGAAACATGGCCGGTAAGAGTAGAGGATATCCGTAGGTTACTAGTATTTGATCATAGGTGTCTTCGAAATATTGCTCGTATATCCTGGGACCATCGAGTAAGTAATGCAGTTGTTAGGAAACGGGTACTAGGTAAGGATGGCAAATCAATTGATGACGTAGTGAAACTTCATCAGTTGAGATGGCTGGGACACGTGTTACGTATGCCCAACGACCGACTGCCTCGACGTGCTATGTTCAGTGGTATAGGAGTAGGTTGGAAGAAAGCTAGGGGCGGCCAGACCAAAACATGGCACAAGTCCATGAAGTCACTGGCAAGTAGACTGAGTCATGTTGGTAGGTGTAGACTACCTGGTTGGGGACCGCGAGATGATATCACTCGATGGTTAGAGACGTTGAGTGACGTGGCTCAAAATCGTTTGTAATGGCGCAGGTGCATACGCTCTTTGTGTTCTCCCAAATTCTAATCTTCTGAATTCTTCATGTCCCTTTTTTCATCTTTCCAAATTTATTTCACTGGATTATACTCTTTAAATAACATCTCCAAACCCTAATCTTCCCTATTACTGCTTATACTCTTATTACCTCTACCACTACGGGATTTGAATCGACAACTGCATCTCTATGCTAATGTGGTGTGGCAACTCGAACTGATGTACGTACGTACGAATTTCTACGTTGTTACTGACTGACTGACTGAAATTCTTCCTTAGAATAGGAGTTGAACAACGATCATATCATGTATCCATAGCGAAACAGGCATACAATACAAAATATCCGAAATACGTTGTGACGCATCATGTAATAAGCAACATAAAAAGGTAGTTCTCATGTCAGTTAGAGAGGCATTGAAAACTTAGTGAAACCAACTAAGATCCTTATTCAGGGATATCAAGTTACATGTTGAACATCAAGCTTTACAGCCAGAATCCAATGTTTACATCTCCTCTATACAATATTTGATATTTGGTGAAATATTTTGTTATATTGTAACGACTCTTACTGACTAAGAACTAATCATTCTTGTCTATGCATCACAAATAAATTTAAAATAGATTTTTAGTTATTACCACAGTATGATTGAGATTTTTCATTCTTTTCTTAGATTCAAAAATCCTTGTTTCTGGAGTAATGAAGATTATGTATTCTATACGTGGTTCACAGTTTGGTCATAAAATTATGTTTGATAAATGCCATGTTTATGAAATGTTAATACATTATCTGAATGCTTATTACCCCAAATGACCATTAATAATGGTGAAACTACTGTTCCATAGTTAAAAATATCATATGAGGTAAGGGATAGTGTAAAAAAACATCATTTTATACTATCTATTAATCTTAATTAGTAATTCACAGTAAAATGAATTGGTAAAAAAAATTATATCTCCTAACACTTACCTGTTGTCGATTCTCTGTGGAATATGGCAATAAAGTGGATATATGAAACATTATTTCATGACCTTCATAGATTGTATATACTGAATCAATACCTGTTGTATTCGCTGGAATCATAAATCAAAAAATTGAGCTTATAAGACAAAAAATATTAAGAATTTATTAATGCAGTTTTATCTGATTTCTATCCATAAGCTCATCTATGAAAGTTTATAGACAATAAATTCCAACTAAGTTTATGCAATGAATTGGATGAAGTGACAATTGTGTTTATTGAGTAGACTATTAGTAACCAGATTTGATATAAACATGAGATAAACAAAAATTAAATGGTGAATAGTTTTTCAATAAAGAAAACGTAAAAAAACACAATGTTAAACGATTCTAAAATTTATTTTCATTAGTTCATAGACTCGATCAGTTAAAGGGAAATATAAACATGCTTACACGTGGAATTGGCTCATTAGGAAAGCTGGCTTTATTGTATATACCAATGTATGTATAGTATAATCTATATCTTATAACACTATACTTTAATAACTATCTATGATACAATATCATTATTATACTTAAAATGACCACTGAATATAAAGAAAGCTCCAGTATTTATATTCTCATTGAGTAGCATTATTGTAAGCGATTCTTTAGTTGAATTTCAAACTTTTAATTTTTTTTCCTATATCTTTTTAATATGAATAAGAATGAATATATCATGTTCAGTCTTTTTTGCTTAGTAACATAAAGATAAAAGTACAATTTCACTGTTTATTAGTTTGAAACTCATGAATTACTGTAGCTGATAGGAAATTCTTTTTATAGTTGCAATCTTGAGTCAATTGAAGCTAGACCACCATGGAAAACCTGGAAGCCGGCATCCAACGATTTTAATGTTTAACTTCAACTAATCGACGAAATTGCACCACCGTCCACCATTGTTTTCAGTGAGCTGATCTCTCACAACAGAACTGGTTGAACTTCACTGGTCCTAGCTACTCACTAGAACTCCATGAAATGGCTCTTGAAGTCATTCACTAGTGAGCAGATGATTATCATCAGAAGGAGTTTTGTGGAGATTTTAGTAATTTCAATAGTTGAAATCATGAGTCAGTTGAAGCTAATGGCCTAATGGTTAGGCACTTACGTGCGAGACTGATAGGTCCTGAGTTCGAATCTCACGGAGGACGGGATCGTGGATGCTCACTGTTGAGGAGTCCCATACTGGGACGAAGCGGCTGTCCAGTGCTTCCAGGTTTTCCATGGTGGTCTAGCTTCGATTGACTCATGATCTCAATCATTGAAGTTACTAAAATCTCCACCAAACCCCTTCTGATAATTTTTTTATAACAATTATTGTCATGAGATAAAATCTCATAGTGAAGAGCAGCCTGGTTTATTATATTGATAACATCATATATTTTGTTATCATTCACATTATTGGATCAACTTATTGTTTTTTTAGACTTACTTCTCTTCAAAGTAACAAAAAAAATTTATCACTTACATTTTGTATCTAGACCTCCTTTGAATCGATCCCAAGATTTCAAGCCAATTCTTTCCCCGAGAAGATCAATAAAACGTTCAAACTGTTCACTTCCTTTTTCTTTAATTAAGATAATTTAAAATGTTTGCCTTGATTAGGAGAATACATATTAAGTCGTCACATGTTTAGATTTACTAAAACACATTTTCAACTCCGCCTGGAGTCCCTCCGGGGGCTACTGCCGGTCCCATGCCCGGGCAAAGGAGGAGGGTTGTGCATGGGGTTAGCGAGCCCATCCCGTAGAAAACTAACTCGCTAAAAAAACGCTAACCAGAAAAGATTATTCAAGTAAAACACATTTTCAACACATAAAAGTAATTGTTTTTATTGACTTCTTTCGAAGGTTCGTACAGTCATATGTTTTCCACGAACCTTTCAAATAAACAAATTAAAAACATCAACTACTTTGAATATAGATAGATTTTCTGACTTTCTTACTAATATTGCAGTGGACGAAGACTTGGTGGAGAAAAACAATTATTCAATGCAAAATCAAATAGTGCCTTTGTAAAATATGAATATCATGCACTAAAAGTATCATCATCCTTTATATACTCTATTATTCATCTAATTCTGTTATTATTTTGATTCCTCTCCGATTTTCTCTTTGTTTTATTCAATTCGATTTTGTGCTGCCAGGCATTTCGTTTCCGATTGCAACTATATACTACCTATATGTCAGTATAAGTAGTATACATCACTCCATAACTTGTAGTCTCTTAAATAATAAACATGTAATAAATCGGATATAAATATAAAAGTTATATGAAGTGGGTAATGTTTCTATATAATTACAGCTGATTACTTAGATTTACGGATAAGTAATAAATTATGTGTCGAGATAATAGCAACTTGAAAATTGAGATCACTATGTTATGAAGAATGTTTATAGTGTAACTAAGTATCACTGCTGTTTTATGATATTCTTATTGATTAGTCGCTAAACTGTAGTCAGTATAACATTTGTTTCTTCTTCTTTAGTACTGATCGAAAGTTACCAATCAAGTCGTAATATGATCACTTGTCTAAATATTATAACATTGTGCACATTGCCATTTGATACCATGCGGTTGAAGTTAGGAAACCACATATGTATGAGATTGTTTGAACTTCGACATAAAACACAACCAGAAGGAAATGGAGGGAGGGTAGGCAATTGTACTAATAGTATAACCTGTTTCCCAAATGATCTAAAGGTTAGGAAAGATGTATTACTGTTGAAGAACTGTAAATTCACTAGGGAACTACTAGGTGATCAACTCATACAATAAACTGATTGAAAAAATTAGTAATCATTCGTCAATATTAATTCTGTGATCTATGTGTTCTCAGATGGCATTTAGTGTAAATCTATTAAATGGAAGTAATATTGAATATAAAGATTATTCTTTTTTTCTTAGATTTTCATACTTCAGCGTATGACGTAATATTGTTAGTTATTTTTGGGGACAATAGATGCCCAAAACTCATATTTTGTAATTTCATCTTTGTGGAGCTTGTATGCAAATGTATGCTTGGGCATGTTTTACCACCCATGCACATAGTCAATTGACGAGCTTATCGAATAAATGTTTAAATATTTCAATGGCAGTCGATTGACGAACTTATCGATTAAATGTTTAAACAAAACTTCCATAGCAATATCTATTATATATAGTTTATAGTATATATACGTTTTGAATTGCGTTTGTTGTGATCACTCGTTCTGGTTGTTTTGCAGAATGTACTTCCCATTCCAAGCTTGGTCTTCCCCCCCCCCTAGTTAGCGGGACTGAGACTCAATAGCTAGCTTGCTGGTCTTTGGTCATCGAGTCTTATTATCGTTCGCAGATTAAGTGAACTCGTGATAACTTCAAGCCTAGCAGTTATTCACTTAAATAAGGAAAAATATTTTTTATTGTTTTATAAAACTACTTATTTCATTCATCTTTATTATTCAAGGGAAGTGTGTTTTTGACGTAACATATTAATGAATAAATAATTTATGAATGGTTTTCAGAAGAAGAAAGAAACTAAAAAGAATACAACAAACATTAGATGAGAAGAAAGAGATAAGATAGAAAGCTTTTCATAGACAGATTAGATTTAAAGTTTGATTGAATTTTACAGCAAACTACTTATTAGGTGTGTTCTTTGTTACCGGATAATCAATAAAATGAATGATTAGCGTTATCGCAACAACAAAAAATAGCAAATAATAAGAGAACTTGAAAATTATAATCCATAGATTGTTGTCTTGGAATTTTAAATCAGAAATAGGATTTTCTTAAAATTTTTTACCTAACTCAGGATCGTTGAAATCAATAAAAACTAGAGATTACATTAGTTAGAGCAAGATTTTGTATTGTGTTGTATTAAAGCATACTTCATGCACGATCGCGTTGACGCACGCTGATTGGCTAATGCTTACCCAATCAGCAGTAGTCGATACTTTGAGAACACTAGAATTTTCTCATGTAGAAACTATAAATGTACTAACGTTTTTCTTAGTGTTCTTCTTACTTCCATCTACCCTTGTTATTCGGAATATAATTTCTTTTCTCTCTGACCGTGTTCTGATTTGAGGACTTGTCAAATGAATTAGTGTCCAAGAATACTAAGTAATAGGAATAGCTGGGTTGTAATAATAGAGAATTATGACATTTGTACTAAAAGATGTAATGACTAACCATCACATTGCCTTTAAATTAATGCATTTTAATACGAATAATTCTTTAAGTCTCATAGCAACCAGATTAAGTAAATGAATTCATAATCCCTACATACTTTGCAAAATTCTTTGCTGGTTTCGAAAAGTACAGTGCAAGTCCGTGATCATTAGTTGCACAACTTATTGTCCACTATTCGAGTTTCTCTCCATTCTATGGTATAGTTCACCGGTAGTCCGTATCAGGCGCTTGTTGACAAAATATATACTGAGCAAGATAGTGGTGGGACCAGCTTAGTTTTCCTCCTGTAGAAAGCTGCAGCATTGCTAAATCTATCCATTTTGAAGTAATGAAAAGCGTGTTACTCTCATACAGTTTTGAAACGCTTGACGATGATGAGTGGGTTAGGGAATAAAGTTTTACTGAAGTCGTATTCTTCAAACAATACTGGTAAATTATAAGGCATTTTTGTCATATCAGACAACACTGATGACAAAAATTTCCAAGTGTTTAAAGTGGTATCGTCACGTTGAGAATGAACAGCAGAGCTACAGTTTCTTTCCAGTGCAATATGTTATTTAAATCTCTTATGAATGAAAGAATGGATGTTTAATGAAAAAGTACTATTTCTCATTTTATTTTCTTTCTTGCTGCTGTTTTGGTCCCATTTTCATACTAAGTTATACTTTTCAAGGAATTATTCCTATTTCACATTTATTAAATGAAAACTGTCCGCTGAAAGGTTTCAGTATGACGTAATCATAAGCTTTAACAAGTCTAGTCTATCTTCTGTCACTCAGATTGTTAGTAAAGAGAAGAAAATAACTGTTTATTTATTATGAAATACTTCAGTGATACTTTGTTGATTAAAAGAAATACTTTCAAGTATATTTAGCATTATGAGACTGAAGCACAATGACATATAATATGTTATTCTATGTTCATTGAGTGATTTAGGTCATATAAGATACACTCATGTAAAATGTGATTTCATTAATGAAATAACAAGATCTCCAATTCTCAGATTACACAGAATTTATAATTTTTGGTAAATCTTGATCAAGATTATACAATTGCCAATCATAACTGATTTCCTAAATCCTTCGAATAAAGAAACTGAATGATTAGTATACATCCTTTGATAAATCTTAATCATGACCTAAATACAATTTTATTCAATTATTTTGAGAATTATTCAGAATAGTTGAATGATAAAATTTACAAACAACTAACCGTTGTTATACATTTCTTGATCTGATGTTTGACCTTCAACGCAATAAAGTACTCCAAATTTAAAATTTACTGAACCCTTTGTAAAGAAAATAATAAAAGATAATGAAATAAAATGTTTTATTTTTTATTAATTTGTGGTGCTAGGATGTTAAATGTCAGAAAAAATCAATATCCTTTGAATATTATTATTACTTACTTAATCCTATGATACTTCGTGAAAGAGCAGAGGCAACTCACTAGGATTCTCGATCGAAGGGTTACGAAGGGCTAATATAGTCAACGTCAAAGAAAACCTTATATTGCTATGATATTATAATTAAGCATATTGATCTTTATCACATCACTTTCATAATATACATGCACTTCCATCGATTTTGAAAATAGGATAATCAAAAAGAAACATCTCATCGGTTAGGGTTCAATTGTAAACGAGAAAGTAATGAACAGATATTTTCTTCTAGTTTGAAGATTCTCAGTATTATCCACTTACTATCTCATAAAGTATTAGACGAGGAATTTTCTGCCATCACGTTGAGTGTTCATTTGTTAGATCAAATGCTGGGATACTAGAAATAAACGACCATTCAGTTCTTCATTTTCAGTAAAACGACAACTAATGTCAATCTGTAACGCATACCACCTTCAAAACATTTCATAAATATTCATAAGATTGAACAATTGGTTAGACAAATTAATTTCTTCTAAATCATATTTTATCATTACAAATAGGTCTTAGTTTTCGCAATCTTGAAAAATTATACTTCTTAACCTTCGAGTTATTCAAATAAATAGACTTTTAAACATGAACCAGTAGATAATAATGAGTTATTGAGATGCTTGAGTGGAATGATAAATGAAAGATAAGTCATATGTATATCCATTTAAGATTTAGTGTGTCCTTCAAATGATATAATGTAAATATGAACACTGTTTTTCACTTCAAGTTGACCTCAGAAAATGAAGAAAAAACAATATGTTCTTATCAGTATTAATCACTTTAGAGTTGATTTTGTTTATCTTTGGTCTAATAAAAGCCATTAATTGTCATACCAAAAGGGTTGACAACTAAAATTATATTAATGCCTTTTATAATCAAATACTTGTTATACGCTATTATGAATTGTAGTTCGTTAGGAAATCATTAGTTAAAATCTTATGATAGTGTAAGTCTCAATAGGGAAGAAATAACATGGTAACTTAGAGGACACTAAGACACCTGTTCAGTCCTGTTCATTGTCTGATGAACTTAGAGGAAGCTTAATGGTAGTGTGACCAGTCTTCAAAAAAGGCAGTTTTAACTAGATATATTTCTAACAGTAAATAACTTGGATGATCACGTTCTGATTTTTGAAATATCCTTATCATATGTTTCAGTGTTTAATTAATGATTGAAATGATTGATAACAAGCTGTAATCAATATAGGGAAGTGGTAAAGTGGACAAATTATTCAAGTACCAACTGCTGATGACGGATTCGCATTTCCTCTCATTGGTTTAGGTAGATCTTATTCTTAATACTCGGTATAAAACTGAATAAATAAACACTAGAAATAAATGTCGAGTAACTAACATACCGATGAATGACACAGTGGATTAGACAACAATTTTGTTCTTGTTTTTAACTCATTAGCAGCAACTATACAGGATTTAAATATCTCGTAATAAGCAATACAAGTTGGTACTCATAGAATTCTAAATTATTTTTTTAAAATTCTCAACTGCAGTTTAATTCTGACAGTACCACATTCTTAATACCACGTAACCGTCATATGCTAGGTCTTGTGTTGAATCACTATAGCAAATGGTCGAAAATCCAAAAAACTTGAAATAAAGTCCTGTCTAGTAATTCCTCATTTTCCTTAGTTCTATATCATATTTTAGCTCATTATGAAAAGTTTCTTAAAATGGTGTAAAATTTCCATCAAATAATCCAGCATGACTCTGATAAAGGCTAGTTATAAAAGAAGTGTGTTGTTTATCACAGAACATTATGTCAGTAAACCGGAAATACAATAAGAAGACACGCCTAACGGCCAAAATAGTTCAACGACTGTGAACTAAATCATTTCCTTCTAAATAATTTTTGTAATATTTTGAAGCACACATTATCGTCAGTCGAATAAAAAGTATACCTACAGGACAGAATGTAGTGACTGACCCTATGCCAAGCATACATGGGTTATTCTAGCTTCTGGACAAACCAATTTATTCATTCATCTCAAGCCACATTTTAAGCTTGTTAATTATTAACTTATCAACCCTGAATGTTTTTATATGAGCGTATGTGTGTGCATTTCTTATCTTACTCATCTCATGTCCGTAACTTATTTTTGCCTGACTGTAAATATCTAATCACATTTGGCTAAATTGAATTGGCTCACTCGCCTTCTCCGCTGCGCGTCATTTAGTTTCACTTTTCTCTCTCTCTCTCCATTTCTTTGCTCCGTCTCTCTGATTATCTATTCTGATCAACGATTGTACAGAATATGAGTATTCAAAACTTCATTCTTGTATCTGACTTATTTAATTCTGTTATTCACTAACGCGATTTAAGTCGATAGTTGTATATGAGGATTGGCGATATGTATATTTCGATAACAAGTAACGAACGATCTACCTGGAGTCAATAAAAGGCCTTTTACAGCATTTGCATTTGGTTGTTTATAAAACTGTCATTCATAAAGTTGATTATGTTTTAAAACTAAACGTATTCTAATATATAATTAGTAAATAATAGAATGGAAATCTATACATTCAACAGTTAGTAAATGAAATCGGTCCTTACTTCTTGTTCTTCTAAAGTAAGTGCATCTTTTTGTGCTTCAAAATTCAATATTCCACGTGGTCCTTTCTCTACCCGATGAATATCGAAAAAGCTGTTAAAGATTTGAAAAAAATAAACAACTTAGGAAGTAAACACGTACAAACTCTTTTAAAGCCAACATTCTGTAATGTAAAATATTGATTCATGAATTGAAAAAAGAACATTTTTATAACATCGGTAAAAGAAATCTACATCTAACAATTAACTTGTTGAATGGTTAAATTACATAACATACTATGTAATATTTGTGCTTTGGTTTTTTACTCAATAATAATGCTCTATCAATATAAACAAACCTGGGTTCTGTGGTTTGTTTACCAGATCACTGTAATTTTATTCAAGCAGAACTTAATTTAACAGCCTAATGAGCATTTGCCAAGTTGCTAACATTCTCTAAAGGAACAAAACCTAACTATCTAAAAATACTTTATTTATTTATTAATGTGTGAATAATTGGAACATATTGTTAAAATGAGATTTTATATACTTTGTAAAATCGCGTGGTGTTTGTTGGCAACGCTAGGAAACACTAAATTAATAATAACATATATGGAAGATCATAGTAATGGATACTTAATTTGAACAGATTTTTTACTTGTTCTAAGTTCGTTGTATACAGTGATAGTGAAATGAACAAAGACAAGGGTAGGATGAATCCAATGCATTATGCAAAATTAGACAGTGCATTTATGAAAAATGTAAACAGTATTTTAAATATACTATTTGCGCATCTTCCATGAAGTGTCCCTTACAAACTTCTCTGTTCCTTAATCCTTGTTGCTGCTTGAATTCCTCTGGTTTGTCTTTCTCTTCTCCTCAAGTTCCTCTTCTGACAGTAAGAATCCTACTCCCAATTCACGATACGCACTACTTGAATCTGTCCGTATAAGTACCATACACCACAATCATCACCCCTTAAATAAATCGTACTAGCCATTGTTTCGCTCGCCGTACTTCAGTCTCTGTCACAGTTTGGGCCTTGTCGAAATGTCAAGTCTACTGGCGCGCTGATTTCTGTCGACCTCCTGGGTCATCTAAGTCTAAACATTTTCTATCTAACGCCTCCTCTCCGTTGATAGCGACTGTCATACGCAAATAAGGGAGGTGACAGTATGAAGAAAGCATTTTAAGTGGTAGTTTTATAAGTTTGAGAAAGATCGTTTTTCGATGTGATATAACAAATTTTTACGGAATACACAAAAATAGGTTGACAATAATCTGACATGAATTGATCAAACTAATAATTTTAAATGTAAACAAGAATTAGTATAGGCATTTATAAAGATTGTAATATTTTAGTAGTTGAATTCTAGGCTAGAAATTCATTGAAAACCTGGAAGTACTAGGTAGCCGTTTCTCCCTAGGATGGGGCTCTTCAGCAGTGCGCATCCACGAACCTGCACGCGTGACTCGAACCCAGGACCTCCGGTCGCGCGTGCGAACGCGTAACATCTAAACCACTGAGCCGGATGCTCATTGCTAAGGGATCCCAAACTAGGACAAAACGACCGTTCAGTGCTTTCAGGTTTTCAATGATAGTCTAGCTTAGATCAATTCATGACTTCAACTGTGAAAACGAATTCTCTTTCACTGTTTATTTACATTATCAAAGCACTTGAAGGTTAGTCATCGACTTATCCTTGTACGACAGTTCCGATCCTTTCTCCTAACTGTTATGACCTTCACCAACCTCACTAGGGCAGGATTTTATTAGCCACTTCTCAGTTAGTGTCCAACGAATTTATTCATGTTTTGTTTGTGAAGAATGGATAATCATTGAAACATCTACCATTTAAAACTTAACATGACGAAAAAACGTTGTATTTGTTTTACGATGAAAATCAGTCTTCTTACTTACTTTAATACCTTTTTTGCGGTCAATGCATTTGTTGGATTATATGATATACATAATTTTTGACTACCCTATCAAAGGAAGAAGAAAATAATTATTGTTAATTTGGGATCTAAGAAAACAGTTGTTTGAGAAGAAAAAAACAGAATTTCTTAAGCAGCCAAATACAAACCATTACTAAGTATTTAGTCATATTTTTTCATCTCTATACAGGAATTTATGTAACAAAAGCTCCTTGGCCATAATACGCATTTGAAAGCTTCATAATTAATTAAACGGTCAGTTGATCAATTTTGCTATATGATGAGCACCTGACCAGGAATCAGTAGTTGAAATTATATCACTCAGTTAAAAATGATAAATTTACTTAACAAACTAACTCGATGTTTTTCAGTTTCGATGATCAACAGTTCATTTTGGGTAGATCGATAAATAAATGGAGATCTAGTAATCTAACTCAAAGCTCAGTTGCTCAGTATGAAAGTACTAAATTCATTTAGGCACTTCGTGTTCACTTACATAACATGAAAATCATAGTGAAATCTTACAGTTCGCTCACATACCTCTCGTTTCTACTTGATATTATTGAGACAAATAATTATGAACTAAGGAATTTCATTTACAAAATGATATCGAAAAATGAAGAAGTCAGTAAACTGTTTCATCCTACTTCAAAGATTCTCATCAGTGTCCACATATAATATTACTATCGTTCTTTAGATCTTGATGTTGAAAAGACACAGTGAAAAAAACCTTGAACCTATACATAATCAACACAAAGTTACTAAAATGAGTAGTTAATACTCACTGTTTTTCTCCATAAAATTGCACGATATTGACTAATTCCATATGTTTGTATATCATCTTTGACAACAGCCAGTAAAAATGGATCACGTTCAGTAAGGTAACCACAGTGTAGTTGATGATCTAAACAATTTGTAAAAAAAGCATGTAGTAATTTGTAAAAGAACAAAAAGGGATCGTTGAAGCACAGATGAAATATTCCAGAATTTTGGTTGAAATAGTAATGGATTATTTGTCAAATATTTTATGTACTTTTCTTAACTAAGTTAAAATGTATATCGGTAATGAAGTACAGCCGTATTGTTTTCAACAGGTTTTCGTGGAGAACTTTACTATTTAACTTTGGTGTAAATTACGATGTTGAACGTTTGAGTTTTATAATCAAATAGTCTCTGATTTATTTTTGATGCTTGTCATTAGGTACAGACAGACTATTAAGAATGACTTCATTGATCAAAATACGTTGTATTTGCAATTAATAAATGACGGTATTTTTTTATTATTTGATATCATGTTATGATCAAAGTAGCTATCATTATTAAGCTTGGTATGAAATATACGTGACGAGTGATTTTTGGTTTCCTAATTATAGGTGCTTTTGAATAATCCCAATAGAAGAATGAGTTAACTCTGCCTGGAGTCCCTCCGGGGGCTACTGCCGGTCCCAAGCCCGGATAAAGGAGGAGGGTTGGGCATGGGGTTAGCGTCCCCATCTCGTAGAAAACTAACTTGCTAAAAAACGCTAACCAAAAGGATGAGTTCATTATGAGAAAAAGGATTCAGTGATAAGGTTTCGGACAAAGTGTTTTGTATAATTTCTGCTGAAATCATGAGCGCTATACTGTAACAGTGAGTCACTTTTGAGTTTACTATGGTTATGGAAGTCCTAACTCCTTCTTTCTGACAAATAATTATCTGTTAATTTACTTAACAACGAAAAATAACTGTGTTAGTACACTTAACTGTTTGAATGGATTGTTGGAAATAAAACTAATTATTATCTTCATAAGGACAATCAATACTCTATATTTATAGGTATCAATGTCAAGGTTGGACTTGTTAGTTCCAAATCAATTGAGCATTGGATAGAAGGTTATTAATAAGTATATTTTTGTTATATCCTAATGAATATAAAAATTGTACTTTTGATGTTTCGTGACTTAATGTAAGACACTTCTTCAAAGTAAATTAATTTGCCTTGAAGAGGTGTCTTACATTAAGTCACGAAACGTCAAAAGTACAATTTTTGTACTCATTAGGATATAACAAAAATATACTTATCATCCGTACTTTGTACTTTGTATTCCTTAGGTAAATAATTCTACTAGTGCTGTTTATTGAAGTATGTTCTGTTTAATCATTATTCCAGACGTAAAACTCACTATGTAACCATGTGAAACCTTATTAATATAAAAACGTTGATATGAAGAGTGTTCTCTATTTGCGTTTTTCTGTCTTTGGTTATTCGACTCACTAATAATAACAACTTTCAAACAAGCTTGAAGCTATAATCAAATTGTTACATAAACTTTATGATCAAATTTCTATTTCAAATATTAAATTAAGTTTAGGCAACATATTCACAGCCCTATTTTGAGGATCCTTTGATGAATAATTTGTCAGTCTTGATCAGTTCATTGTAATGAACTAGAACGACTATACAATTCTGTGTAAATCTATATATTTGTGTTTTACTGCTAGTGTAATTCTAATCAGTCACTATGTTTTACAAGTAATTCTTCACTATTCAAAACATATTTCAATATCAAACGAATGTAAAACTAAAGTTGATCTGAGGAAAAACTTTTTTGTGTATCTGTGTGTGCGTGTGTGTGGGTATGTGATAAACAACCATATCTGTCTGTTAAAACAAGAACATTCTGAACAAGCTTTCAATTGTTTAGTAGGATATTCTGTTTAAAATTGATATACAAAAAAGCATTAAAAATTAATAGAAAAAAAAAGGATAAAAAAGCATTTCAATAAGTTTCTTTTTCTTGTTTATTGATCACTACTGATGATAAATATTGAATGGTAGTCAGTTATATGCTAGCAGATTAGGAATCGACATTTAAATAATGTTCATTCTTTTCAATGCATATTGCCAGCTACCACGATGTTTCGGACTATACTTTTTGCGACTTGTACAGAGAAAGATTGTAAATGTTTCATGAAGACACTTGAATAGGTTATATGATTATGAGACACAATGATGTGTTAAAACAAACAAAAACAAATCATTTTAATAATTGAATTCATGAGTCGATCTAAGCTAGACCACAATTGAAAACCTGAAAGCACTGGACAGATAACTTGTTAAAATATCTAGATGGCAGGAACAGATATCCTGGATGTTCAAGTAGGCCGTCAAAGTTCGCCATGCAATGATTACCCAAAAGTCAACTAGACAGATATTGACAGAAGACAATTAGGGACAATTATACACCATATATATAACAAGCTCGATACGCAAAACCTAGAATTTGTAGTTAAGATTTCTGCATTTGCTAATGCATGATTTATTGGTTATTCCTTGAGAATGATAGAACAGTTAGTTAAATCCTTTCAGTCTTGGAAGTAAGTTAAATTGACAGAGTACTTGAAATGGACAGTAATATATCGAATCGCTCATTGTGTACAAAAATATATTATTTGACTGTTAATGAAAATATAACTAAGAGGATAAATTCATTTGGTATTGTTTACTTGTATCCTCTCATTGACGTTTAGGACTGCAATTGATCAGTATCTTATTGGCATATGTGCATACTGCGCGTATTGCCTCTATATTGTTTTAAATCACAAGCATTATAAGCAAAGATGGATGATGGTTACCAGTGGGATACAGGATGCGTGTTTCGTCCTATTTTAGACTCGTCAGCTGGATAACGTTATAGCGTTTGAAGCAAACGGTACTGGGTTCGAGTCCAAGAGTGAACATCGACTCGGATGCAGGTACATCCAGCTTATGAGTCCCGAATGAGGAGAAACGCACTTCCTGGATTCCACTGCTAGCCACTATCCATCTTTTCTTATAACTAAGAGATTTATTGATAGGATTTAATTTCTTACAGCTATGTGCATTATGCAGTACATGAATTAGTGTTAAATTGTTTTTTTTGAAATGATGATTGTTACAGAAATTCAAATTGGGTCTTTAATAGGTTTACTTACAGTTATATTCTTATTTAGTTAGAATATTTCGTTTACGTTTTATCTAAATCAGAAGATTTTACTATAGATGCCATTCTGGACACTTATTATAATTTCACATTATTATTATTATTTCAATGGTTAAGATCATGAGTCAGTTGAAGCTAGACCACCATGGGAAACCTGGAAGCACTGGATGGCTGTTTCGTCCTATTTTGGGACTCCTCAGCAGTGCGCATCCACGATCTTGCCATCTGCGAGATTTGAGCCCAGGACCTACTGGTTTCCCGGGCCGGCACTTAACCACTAGACCACTGAGTCGGCATCCAATGGTGTTAATTTCTAACTCCAACTAATCCACAGAATTGAGCGACACATCCACCATTGTCTTCAGTGAGTTACTATCTCACAACAGACCTGGTTGAACTGCACTGGTCACTGCTTCTCACTAGAACTCCATGAAATGCCTCTTGAAGCCAGTCACCAGTCAGCACATGTTGATTAATATCAGTTGGGTTTCGTGGATCTTAACCATTGAAATTACTATAATATCCACAAAACCCATCTGATATTATTATTATTAATGTTATTACTTGCATGATTAAAGACTGAAGTTATAATCTAAGCGTCAAAATGAAGATAGACATAAGTTACAATCATTACAATATTGTTGATTAGTTTATGGGAAATATGAAATTTGTCAATAAACAAACCATATAGCAATCTTGTAAAGAATCATTTAGATATATTGAAAAATCTGGTTTATCTGATATTCATTATCAAAAACTATGTTGTCATAACAAATGAACATTTTCTAAAATGAAGGTATTCTACAACACTATTATACAGACACTTTCATTAATATATATTTGTATTTACTCAGAATACATTAATTGGTATGTGGTGTATGCTACTGATATAGACAGATATAAATAGTATATATCATCATTTGAAAGTGAAGCGGTGGAAGATTAAGTAGATTGAAGAGAAGAGAACAAGAAAAAGGAGTAATTAGTGTGAAAATGAAGGAACAATCAACTTTGAGACAATTGATTGATTGACATTTTGAAAATTAAATATTTACTGTATGATTCTCAGATTTTACTAGGTTATTCTGTTATTTTGTGTTCAAATACATTTTGGTTGTCCTGACCTGTTTTCTAATTCATAAGAGGCATATCTATGTGAATTAAAATAACTGATGCATATTATAATTTTTCTGAAAGAAAGAAAAAAACCATTTTTGTAAAATTTATGATTATTCTTCTGTTTATGTTTAAATAAATCAAAAACGAAAGGTGAAATTTTCCTAACAAATTAATTTCCATGTGACTTTCACTGAACTTATTTACTATTCACATGGAAAGAACAATTTATATATCATAGTAAATATTGAACAATGAATGAGTGAAAAATTGACTTCATTTAATCAATTACATAGTATTTTAAAGCAAAGATGGTTAGTGACTAGTAGTCTTGGGGTAAACATCAACTGTGCGATGCAAATACATCCAGCTGACAAGTCCCAAATAGAACGAAACACGCGTCTTGGATTTCACTGTTAGCTACTATCCATCTATGTTTAAAAAGCTTGTGACTTAAGACTATATCGAAGCAATCCGCATAGGATTCACATATACCAACATGAGACTGATCAATTTCAGTCCTAAATAACCATTGGAAAATATAAGTAAAACAACACGAAGTGAATTGTCACATAGTAGTTTATTAATCAAGATTATAGAGTTATAGTTTTAATATCCAGTGATTAGCTGTATTATCTAATTCTCATAATTGTATGCTCAAATAAAGGACAAAACTTAAACAAATAAATTTAGTTTACATATAAATAATAAATTAACACTATAAAAGAATGATGTGTAAGTTCAATAGTTTTGTGAGGATAGCCCACAGGTGAACTCGAAGAGGCTTTAAGAAGCTGAGAAAGAGTCGAAGATATTCCACCCAAT